AAAATTCTGTTAGCCCTGGGTGGTGTGGCTAAGTGGTTATAGCATCGGCACACACATGAAGGGTCATGGGTTCCACTCCAGGTCAAGGGCACATACTTGGGTTGTGGGTTTGATCCCCAGCCCTGGTTGAGGTGTGGGCGGGAGGCAACCAATCAATGTGTCTCTCTCACATCGATGTTTCTCTCTCTCTCTCTCTCTCTCTCTCTCTCTCTCTCTCTCTCTCTCTCTTTCTCTCTCCCCCCTCCTTCCATTTTCTTTAAAATCAATGGGGCGGGGGGGGGGAGGGGGGGAAATACCCTCAGTTGAAGATTAACAACAAAAATTCTGTATACTTGCCTTGACCGGTTTGGTTCAGTGGATAGAGCGTCAGCCTGCGGACTGAAGGGTCCCAGGTTCGATTCCAGTCAAGGGCATGTACCTTGGTTGCAGGCACATCCCCAGTGGAGGGTGTGCAGGAGGCAGCTGGTCGATGTTTCTCTCTCATCAATGTTTCTAACTCTCTATCCCTCTCCCTTCCTCTCTGTAAAAAATCAATAAAATATATATTTTTTAAAAATTCTGTATACAGTTTTTTCCTAACTATTTTAATTTCACTCAGTTTCATCAGGTTTTGTAAAGACAGATTAGAAATAAATTAATAAACTGTTGCTATTACCCCTATTGGTCAAAAGCTCAAAACCACCAGCCTCCCTATTAACCACAGAATAAAGTCAAAACGTCTTTGCTTGGCATCTGAGGTCTTCCGTAACCTGTCTTCTCAGCTTTGTCACCCACCATCGCCCAGCACAGTTCATTTCCCATCCCTGGCCAGGCATGCCCCTTACTACCTCCATGTCCTTCTCTACCTGTGGCCTTCCTGAGACACCCAATAGCTCTCCTTTCCTCTACTCACAATCTTGCCACCTTGAAGCCTTGCCTGTCCAAGGAGCCCCTGCCCGCCAGCTGGCCCCGCAGTGAGCTGCAGTGGGGGACGTGCAGGAGGAGGGGCACCGCTGCCAGTGCTTACCAGGTGCTGGGCCAGGCGCTGCCTTCCTCCTATAAGGACCCTTGTGATGGCATCAGGCCACCCAATAGTCTAGGCTAGGGTAACCTCCCACCTCACCCTTAACTTAGTTACATCTCTGAAGTCCCTTTTGCTATACAATCTAACGTGTTCACAGGTCCTGGGTTAGGACGTGGCGTCTTTGAGGGCCTTTATCTAGTCTACCACCCCGGGCTGAGCCGGACCTCATTGGCTTCAGCCCCTTCATTTCCTTTTGAGCTCGTAAGAGAAGCTCTTGTCTGGGTATCCTGTGAGGTGTGAACTCTTAAGGTGGAAAGTGCCACGTCTGACCACCATCACATCGCTGTCACCACTTGGCATAGACCTCAAGAACCCCGATTCCTGTTGCCAAGACCTGGCATTCACAAGGGCACAGACAGGCAAAGTGCATGTTCACACCAGCCAGCAACATTGTCACAAAATAACTCCCATGAGAGATAAAGTTCAGGACAGACCCCCACCTGGCTGGCACAGGGTCGGTGCTCCATGGAAGCCAGGGGCCCAGAGGTGTCTTGTGACATCCGCTGAGCAATGAGTTGAGAGTTCAGATGTGAGTCCTGGGACAGACCTGCAGGTGGGGCAGGCCAGGCCTGTTCCCACAGCCGGGGAGCATGCGGTGACCGGCTCAGCGTGGCAGCCGGGCCAGGGAGCAGGGTGGGCCTTGCACCATCAGCTGTGCAGAGGAGAATAGTTTACTAACGTGCTGGGCTCAGCTTTTGCTGGACACCGAGTCATGAGAGGAGTTGCCCCTGTGCTTCCCCACCCCTGCCCCCCACAGCTGTGCCTTATAAGTTGCTGTCCCTTTAACCAGAGATTGTCCAGAGAAACGACAAGCCTTCCCCCGGGGATTATGACCCTCCCCACTGTGCCCCAGAGGCGGCTCCCATGCACAGGTGCTGGCAGACGGATGGGCGGGGGGGAAGGAGTCTTCTGGCAGATGCGCAGCCGAGTCCTGTGAGGAGCCCGGGCCCTGCCTCACTGACCGCCGCTGGGGAAGGAGCAGGCGCGGGGACGCGTGGGGATGTTCTAGCGAGTGGGGAGCGAGCGTGTGCTGACCTTGGAGCAGCGGGAAGAGGAGAGTCACGCGGTGCTGCCACACTCGGGAACTGTAGACCCAACCCTGGGTAAGTGGCCCTCTGACAGGAAACGGGCAATCCTCCTACTGTGTGAGGTTGGTAGGGGTGTAGCAAATCTGTGACCACACTTCCTGGCAGTGGCTTTGGAGACAAACTCGGGCCTAAATCAGCAGTCAGACATCCCCTGAGGGGTCTTGGATTAGAGAGGGTGCAGGCTGGGCTGAGGGGACCTCCCCCTGCATGAATTTCATGCACTGGGCCTCTAGTCCTATATAATAAAAGGCTAAAATGCAAATTGACCAAACAGCAGAATGACCGGTCACTATGATGCTTACTGACCACCAGGGGGCAGATGCTCAACACAGGAGCTGCCATCTGGTGGTCTGTGTGCTCCCACAGGGGGAGCACTACTCAGCCAGAAGCCAGGCTCACGGCTGGTGAGCACAGTGGTGGTGGCGGGAGCCTCTCCCACCTCCACTGCAGCACTAAGAATGTCTGACTGTTGGCTTGGGCCCGCAGAGTGGGCCTAAGCCATCATTTGGACATCACTAAGGGATCCCGGGACTGCGAGAAGGCAAAGGCCAGGCTGAGCGACCCCCCACCCCCCACCGAGTGCATGAATTTCATGCACCGGGCCTCGAGTTTATATATATATATATATATACCATATATACCATATAAATATGGCTAATATGCAAAGTGTCCCCTCGGGAGTTTGACCAGGAGACCAGGAGTTTGATTGCTTGCTATGACATGTGCTGACCACCAGGGGGTGGCGTGAAATGAAGGAACGCCCCAGCTGGCAGCCAGAAGGCTTTGATTGACCCTGATCACCAGCCAGGCCTAGGGACCCTACTCATGCATGAATTTTGTGCACCAGGCCTCTAGTTTAGAAATAGTTTCAGATATTTGGCATATTAATTTGATGATTTATTTAGAAATAAAATTTGTCCATGGAGGCATGGGAAATAAGAGCAATTCATGAAAAGTCACGTTTCCATGTGGAGGAGATGGAGAGGAGAGCGGCACTGGAGCGGCCGCTGCGCCCTCACTGTTCTCCTCGGGAAACAAGGGCGTCCACCGCCCCAAGTCTCGAGAGTCTTTCCATTCACATTAAACTTGGACCAGGAAAGGTCAAGACGCTGGAGGCCAGGGCTAGAATGCCTCAGACTCGGGTTCAGTTCAGTGCCGCGGGCCTGGAGCATAGCGACAGGGCATCGAAAGAGGTGAAGATGGGAGAAGCCACCACGAGGTTCCGTGCATGTCCACAGTAGAGCCTCAGCCTGGAGAGCTTGAGGGCTGCTTTGGAACGTGCCGAGTTTACTGAATCCTGGCTGCGTACCAGGCACCGTGCTGAGGTGCCCCTCACACCACAGGCAGCCAGTAAGGAAAGCGGTAGCACTGCTCTCCTTGCACAGATGAAATGACACTTGGGAATGTTAAGCAACTTGGCGAAGGTCACCCAGAGGGGCACGCGTGGGTGCAAGTATGTATGCAGTGTGCGTGTGCATGAACGTCCGTGTTTAGGAGGGAGCTGGGGCCCCACTGTCAGGAGGGCGCTAACTCCCGGGCAAGGCCCTCTATGCCCCTCTCCTTTACTCTTGCCTTTACTCCCATGCCCCCGCCCCACTCCAGGAAATCGCCAGGTGAGGCATGTCCGTCTCCTGTGTATCTTATGTTACAGAGTCTTTCCAGGCCACAGTAAATTTGCGTTTGCACCCAATGGGCCTCTCCCTTCCCAGACGTCATTCTGAGCAGCAAAGGGGGCTGGGCAACAATGGGGACTTGCCCGTCCTGCCGTGCGCAGGTTCTCCTGTCTGAGGCTCGGGCATCCTCGCACCCGCAGGCAGGTCTTCCACTCCACAAGGCAGCAGAGAGGCCTGCGGGGGAGGCTGAGGGAGCTGCACCAACAGGCGACCTCTACTGAAGGAGGCAGCACAGAGGAGGCTGACAGCAGAGAGGGTGAGAGGGCAAGACCACATGGGGTCAACCATCGCCTCTGCATCATGAGACAGATGACCTGGGGCAGGCTACTTAAGTCTGCCTGGGCCTCAGTCTCCCCATCTGTAAAATGGGGATGATGATAGCCCTGGCCTCACAAGCTTGTCCTAATGTGAATGCCAAGCGCTGGTCCACATCAGCACATAATAAACATGGGCTGTGCCCCTGGAGGGGACTGTCAGGCTGTGGCTGAGAGCAGTGCCTCGCCTCCACCCACACCACTTCAGAGGTGAGATGACACGTGTGGTAACAACAACAATCAATAGTTCAAGACAGGTAACTGTCACGTAGGAGCATCGGAGCAGGTATGGAAACGCAAAGGAAGAAGTAATCACAGAATTAGAACAAAAGAAGCTAGATGACAGTTTGCAGCCCAGTGAGGCAATGACCTGGCCCATGTCCCAAGGCAGGTTTTGAAGCGTTGGGAGTAAAGTCCAGGCCTCCTGACTCACTGCCAGGCGGCTCCGTGACCGGCACTAAGGAAAATGCCCCTGACAACAGCATGAGTTACACTGGAAGGTGTTTTCTCCATGCTACGCATTTTACACGCATTATCTTACTACATCCTCAAATAACCCTGGGAGAGAGGTATATTTCCTCACTTCACAGATGAGAAAATTGAGGTGCAGGAGGCATAAGTAATTCTTCCAAAGCCCCAGCCAGAGAGGGGCTGAGCCAGGACTAAGTGGAGGGTCCTAACCAGCTCTGAAGGAGGACTGAATGGGGGAGGAAGTAGGGCCGCCAAAAGCAAGGAGAATGGCAGGATGAGTCTCAGGGTGGACACAGGCTTTAAGAAGAGCGGATGGGCTGCTTTTACTAGAAGAGGAAGTTCAAGTAGAGGAGTTCGAGAGGAGTACAAGGCAGACAGATGGAGGCCTTGAATGTCGATCCAGGCAGCAAATGTCTGTCTAGTGTTTGGTTGGGGAGAAGGCAGAGACTGAAGACAGGAACTCGACAATCCTACAGCTGAGGTATATTTCATCCTCGCCTGATGCTATGTTTTTATTGACTTGAGAGAGAGAGAGGTCGATTGGTTGCCTCTCATACATGCCCCAACACGCAACCTAGGTATGTGCAGGAATCGAACCTGCAACCTTTGGTGTACATGATGATGCTCCAACCAACTGAGCCACCTGGACAGGATGGGATTTTTTTTTAAGGCTAATCTGGTCACGGACAAAATGAAGAGGGAGAGCCCAGTGGCGAGAGGCAGGGCAGGGGGGGAGGTTGGCAGCAGGTGGGGGGGCTGGCAGCAGGTGGGGGGCTGGCGGTGGGGGGCTAGCAGCAGGTGAGGGGCTGGCAGCCGGTGGGGGGGCTGGCAGCAGGTGGGGGGCTGGCAGCAGGTGGGGGCTGGCAGCAGGTGGGGGGCTGGTGGTAGGGGAGGCTGGCAGCAGGTGGGGGGCTGGCAGTGGGGGGCTGGCAGCAGGTGGGGGACTGGCGGTGGGGGGCTGGCAGCAGGTGGGGGCTGGCAGTGGGGGGCTGGCAGCAGGTGGGGGCTGGCAGCAGGTGGAGGCTGGCAGCAGGTGGGGGACTGGCAGTGGGGGGCTGGCAGCAGGTGGGGGACTGGCAGTTGGGGAGGCTGGCAGCAGGTGGGGGGCTGGTGGGGGGGCTGGCAGCAGGTGGAGGGCTAGCAGCAGGTGGGGGGCTGGCAGCAGGAGGGGGGCTGGCGGTGGCTGGCTCCTGCTGCTCTGAAGAGGAGGGGTTCTGGGTGTGCACCCTCCCAGGGGCCCACAGTCCACTTCGCAGTTTCACCAGGAGCGTGAGGAGAGGCTGACACTCCCCCCCGCCCCCCCACAGGTGGTGGTACTGCCCCCTGTGCAGCCACAGTCCCTCCGGGCACCATGCGGATCACTGCTGGCTGCTGGGTGCTCGGACGCCTCTGGCTCGCCCCGCCGGTCCGGCGCCTGCACGCGGATCCCCGGCTCCTGGCACCCCTGGCCCTTGCTGACTTTGAAGCCATAAACCGCGGAGAGAGGCCATTGCCCGAGAGCTTTAACTTTGCTGGGGATGTGCTGGACCAGTGGTCCCAGAAGGAACAGGTACGAGATGGTGGTTTCGTGGGTGCTGGTACCCCTCCCCTCGGTCTGGGCCCACTTGCCCCTTTAATTCGGGCCTCTGGTCCCCTGGGTTCCCCTGGGTTTCCTGGGGAGACAGCGCTGCTCTCCCAGGGGAGACTGAGCTCAGCGACGCTGCCTTTCTCCGCGGCCTCCTGGGCTGCTCCGTCCCCCTTTTCCTTCGTTTTCCTCCAGGCCCCAGCAGCAGCTCCCTGCTCCCCTCACCTGTTCCGGCTGCTCGCCCACTTACCAGTCAGCTGAGCTCCGGTCTGAGGACTGGTCTCCGCTGGAGGGATTAGGAGAGACTCGGGTTGAAGAGAGCAAATCCCACAGCGTCTCAGTGTAGCCGCAGCCCTGCCCTGCCTCCCGGGCACCCGGGGCGCACTCGGGGAGGGGAGGGGGTGCTCACCAGCTGGCAGGGCCACCTGTGCTGCCCGGGCGGCTGTGGGAGCCCCGTGCCCAGGTGCTGACTAACGCTCAGTCCCCTCCCCAGCGGCCGACAGTCTCTTATGTGGTTTTTGTTTGTTTGTTTAATCCTCGCCCAAGGGTATTTTCCCATTGATTTTTAGGGAGAGGAGAAGGGAGAGGGAAAGACAGAGAGAAACGTCGATGTGAGAGAAAACACATCGATGGGTCGCCTCCTGCACGCACCCTGACGAGGGCCCGGGCCAGGGAGGAGCCTGCCACCCAGGTAACATGCCCTTGACTGGAATGGCACCCGGGCCCTTAGGTCGGCAGGCTGACACCCCATCCACGGAGCCGCACCGGCTGGGGCCGTCCTTCATGCTTTAGCACTCGCTTGCTACACTCTCTTGTACAGAGAGAGCAGGCAGCGGTTGATAGTCTCTAGATAACGTTTAAAGGCACATTTGTTTTCAATACACTTACTGTTCAGTAAACTCTTTTTAGCAAGTGGTACTGATTCCCATTCTGCTGGGGAGTGCACCCTTTCCTTTTTAAGGAACTGTGTACAAGTAAAAGTGAGTCTGTGCAAGAACAACAGCACAGGTGCAGGCAGACCTGGCAAACACCAGGGATACTCAGATGACGAAAGGTTGGGAAATACTGACCTATATTATTTCATCCAATTCCATCACCCCTGGAGGTTGCAGATAAGGAACTTGGCCTTGTAGAAGTTAAGCAACTTATCCAAGGTCATCCGTCCCAAAGGTACCTGACCCAGCCCAACCTCACAGAGCTGGGTCTGCAGGGAGGGCCAGCGCGTCTGTGACACAGGCAGCACCTTGGTCCCAGGAGGGAGAAGTGCAGGGCTGCAGGAACAGAGAGAGAGGGGGCTGCGGGAACAGAGAGAGAGGGGGCTGCGGGAACAGAGAGGGGGGCTGCGGGAACAGAGAGAGGGGACTGCGGGAACAGAGAGAGGGAGGGCTGCGGGAACAGAGGGGGGGGGCTGCAGAAACAGAGAGGGGGGCTGCGGGAACAGAAAGGGGGGCTGCGGGAACAGAGGGGGGGCTATGGAAGCAGAGAGAGGGGACTGCGGGAACAGAGAGGGGGCTGCGGGAACAGAGAGAGGGGACTGCGGGAACAGAGAGAGGGGACTGCGGGAACAGAGAGGGGGGGCTGCAGGAACAGAGAGAGGGGACTGCGGGAACAGAGGGGGGGCTGCAGGAACAGAGAGAGGGGACTGCGGGAACAGAGAGGGGGCTGCGGGAACAGAGGGAGGGCTATAGGAGCAGAGAGAGGGGGGCTGCGGAACAGAGAGAGGGGACTGCGGGAACAGGGGGGGGGCTGCAGGAACAGAGAGAGGGGGCTGCGGGAACAGAGAGGGGCTGCGGGAACAGAGAGAGGGGGCTACAGGAACAGAGAGGGGCTGCGGGAACAGAGAGGGGGGCTACGGGAACAGAGAGGGGGCTGCGGGAACAGAGAGAGGGGACTGCGGGAACAGAAAGGGGCTGCGGAACCGAGAGGGGGGCTATGGGAACAGAGAGGGGCTGCGGGAACAGAGAGAGTGGCTATGGGAACAGAGAGGGGGCTGCGGGAACAGAAAGGGGGGCTGCTGGAACAGAGAGAGGAGGGCTGCGGGAGAAGGGGGGTTGCGGGAGAAGAGGGGCTGTGGGAGAAGGGGGCTGTGGGAGACGGGGTGCTGCAGTCGGCTCCCCAGAGGGCAGGTGGGGAGGTAGAGCATTCCTGGGAGGGAGGGCGATGATCTCTGAGGCACTGCATGAGGCAGAGGTTGGCAGCACAGGACTCACTCTGTGAAACCTTGGTGAGATGGTTCCTCCAGAATCAGTCACCTGCCACCTCTGCCCAGCATGACCCTCAGCCCCTCTGTCACCTCGCAGCCTACGCCGCCTGCCGGGATCCAACCCCAGCAGGTCCAGGGGTTCCCAAAGGCGTAGACGGAGTCGGCGAAGAAGGAAGGACAGGGAGACAGTGTTCAGTTGATCAGCAGCCTAGCCAGGATCTCCAGCCAGGATCTCCAGCCAAGTTCTGGTCTGGATCTCCAGAGAGGTTCTGCTTAGGATCTCCAGCCAGGTTCTGTGTCCATGTTCTCTTGCTAGGTTCTCCAGCCAGGTTCTGTAGACATGTTCCCTCACTAGGTTCTCCAGCCAGGTTCTGTCCAGGTTCTCCAGCCAGGTTCAGTCACCAGGTTCTAGTCAGGTTCTCTTGCCATGTTCTATCCAGATTCTGTAGCCAGGTTCTGTCTCTAGGTTCTGTTGCCAGTTTCTGTCCAGGATCTTTTGCCATGTTCTCTCCAGCGAAGTTCTTCTGTCTCTAGGTTCTGTGTAGGTTCTGTCTTCTAAGTTCTGTGTGTAGGTTCTGTCTTCTAAGTCCTGACTTGTTACATCTGTATTTATACCAGTTGATTCCAATCCTACCAATCTCTATTCCAAAGGTTAGGGCATTTCTTATCTCCATTCCAGGGAGTAAAGATTATGTAGCTTAAGCATGATTGTTCGTAGTTAAAGTGATTAATTACCCGCCTGGCATTTAGTTAAGAGGTTTTATTCCCTCCCTAACTTCAGGGGAAAATCCCTACCTGGGGAAACAACCTTTCTCAGAGACCTTGGTTAAAACACATAGTGCCAAGAAGGTGAGCAAACATATTAAGAACAGTATGCCATATATGCCAGGTCCCTTGAAACAGCAAGCATGGACCGGCTCCCGGCAAATTCCCCCTTTTTTATTTTTTAAAAGCCAGGCATTAAAAAGAAAAACCCGAAATGCTCTTTTGTATCCATTTTAAGAGTAGGATTGGCGCTTTCCGCTATTACCTGAGTCCTGATCTATCACCCCAGGGAGAGCTTGCCAATCCTGCACTTTCCCGGGGTGGAAAGGCTGCAGTGGGGTTAAGGATAAAGCTCCTTGGGCCTACCTCCTCCCATGCCTTTACATTTACCTTTCCTTCCTCAGAAAAGCATGGACATACTTCTTATATAAAACATTCTGTCTGACTGTGACTGGGAGTAACCTTAATTCCTCTGCTAGCAAGCATATGTGTTAAAAGATCAATACAGAGTCTTATTTCTTTAGACTCAGTATGGCACATCTTCTTAATCTAAAGATCAATACAGAGTCTTCTTTCTTTGGACTCAGTATGGCACATCTTCTCAATCTAAGTTCTGTACTATCCACCTTCTTACCCTACTTATCCTCTATAGGGGGGTCTGTAGTACCCTGGTGGAGTCCTATCTGTCCCGAATGTGGGGGTTCTCAATGGGGGGTGGGGCTTACCTAGGGGAATCCTGTTCCAGGGGTTCCCAAAGGTGTGGACAGAGTCGGCGAAGACTATCCATCCTCTTCCTACGGTGGAGTCCGATCCGCCCGAGTGCGGGGCACTTACCTAGGGGTCCCTGTTCGGGCGCCAGATGCTGGGGTCCCACCCCAGCAGGTCCAGGGGTCCCCAAAGCTGTGGATGGAGTCAGCGAAGAGGAAAAGACTCAGAGGCAGCGTTCAGTTGATCAGCATGGTTGGGTTCTCTAGCCAAGTTCTGGTCAGGATCTCCAGCCAGGTTCTGTAGCCATGTTCTCTCACTAGGTTCTCCAGCCAGGTTCGGTTGCCAGGTTCTGTAGCCGGGTTCTTCAGCCAGGTTCTGTCTAGGTTCTCCAACCAAGTTCTGTCACCAGGTTCTAGTCAGGTTCTCTTGCCATGTTCTATCCAGGTTCTGTAGCCAGGTTCTGTCTCTAGGTTCTTCAGCCAGGTTCTCTCGCTAGGTTCTGTCTCTAGGTTCTGTTGCCAGTTTCTGTCCAGGATCTTTTGCCATGTTCTCTCCAGCGAAGTTCTTCTGTCTCTAGGTTCTGTGTAGGTTCTGTCTTCTAAGTTCTGTGTGTAGGTTCTGTCTTCTAAGTCCTGACTTGTTACATCTGTATTTATACCAGTTGATTCCAATCCTACCAATCTCTATTCCAAAGGTTAGGGCGTTTCTTATCTCCATTCCAGGGAGTAAAGATTATGTAGCTTAAGCATGATTGTTCGTAGTTAAAGTGATTAATTACCCGCCTGGCACTTAGTTAAGAGGTTTTATTCCCTCCCTAACTTCAGGGGAAAATCCCTACCTGGGGAAACAACCTTTCTCAGAGACCTTGGTTAAAACACATAGTGCCAAGAAGGTGAGCAAACATATTAAGAACAGTATGCCATATATGCCAGGTCCCTTGAAACAGCAAGCATGGACTGGCTCCCGGCAGCCACCCTAAAGGTATACGCAGAGGCCACTTGCTTGGGGCACCCATGGGGGTTATTTAGATGGACCAGAGTTTCACATCAGCAGGAAGAGCTTTATTGCAGGGCTAGGGGGGAGCTTGGAAAACTGGGCTGGAAGCTGGAGTGTCCGTCCCATGAGGACAGAAGCCAGGACGCCCTGAGGACGCACCACACCCAGAGCTGATGGTCCCAGAGAGACTCGTCGGCCTGAGGGGGTCACATGCCCAGCCAGTGGCCAGGGAAGGGCAAGCACCAAGACTGTATTCAGTAGGAGAGGGTCCCCCACAGACAAGCTGGGTGCTGTTCCCTGACCCCCCAGCACAGGTGCGAGGGCACATGGCAGTGGGTGTCCCTCTACTTGGTGACTGGTTCTAACCCTTCTCCTCTCTCTCATGTGCCTGTGGCCAGACAGGAGAGAGACCGGCCAGCCCCGCCCTGTGGTGGGTGAATGGCAAAGGGGGCGAGGTGAAGTGGAGCTTCGGGGAGCTGGGCACCCTGTCCCGAAAGGCCGCCAACGTGCTCACCCAGCCTTGCGGCCTTGCGAGAGGCGACCGAGTGGCGGTCATTCTGCCCCGAGTCCCGGAGTGGTGGCTGGTCAACGTGGCTTGTATGCGAACAGGTCAGTGTCCATATTTAACTTTTGTAAACCAGACAGAACAGAGCGAGACTGGAAGGTGAGGTTTTTCTGAATAGTTAGTTCTGACTGAAGCAATGCTTACAAGGACAGCAAAACCAGAGCTGAAACTAAGGGCAACCATGGTGTAACAATAATAATAAAACTGCCTTAATAATAACAATAAACTACCTTAATAATAACAACAATAATGAACTATCTTTGGTATTATGACATTGTTGTTTTGCAAGAAAGGAAACTGAGGTTCAGAGAGGCTAAGAAGTTTGCCCAAAGCCACACAGCTAGAAAGTGACGCCATTGAGATTAAACACAAAGCTCTACCAAAGCCAGTGTGAGTGCCGGCGCCTCTTCGCAGGGCTGGACTGTGAAGTGTTTGCCCGGGTGACCCAGAAATTAGGTCTCTGGTATCTGAATTCTCCCTGATACAAAAATACAAAAGGAGGCGAAGGCATTCTAGAAGGCAAGGGCTTGTGGAAATATGACGTGGACACAGTTGGAAAACCTCTGCCTCTTTCCAGACAAAAAGGTGAATGTACTCAATGGCACATTTCTCCCAAGGAGTCACTTACACTGTACCCCAAACTCCACAGGGTTCTCTTCTCCTCTAGGACAGAGGTCAGCAAAAACCATGGCCTATGAGTTCGCCATCTATTTTTGTTTTGTTTTTTGTTTTTAAATATATTTTTATTGATTTCAGAGAGGAAGGGAAAAAGAAATAGAAACATCAATGATGAGAGAGAATCATTGATGAGCCCTTGATCAGAATAGAACCAGGGACCCTTCATTCTGAGGGCCGACGCTCTATCCACTGAGTCACACCAGCTAGCGCTGGCCATCTATTTTTGTAAACAAAGTTTTGCGGTTAAATGGAATGCAGCCATGCTCATTCATTCACACAGTGTCTGTGGCCCTTTGCGTCTACGGCAGCAGAATTGCTCATTGAGACAGAGATGCTTCATATGGCCACAAAGCCCAAAATATCTACTACCCAGCCCCGTACAGAGAAAGCTTGCCAATTCCTGCTCTAGAACATGGCCGACATGTTATAAATCAGTGAACAATAAGAAAGAATATAGTTCTGTAGAGAACACACAGATGTTTGTTTCAATGGGGTCAAAAATAGAAAAATTTAGAAACAGCTACATAAAGTTGATCAAATAAATTATAACTGACCTGAGACTAAGGTTTCGTGGAGATGTGTTCATTGCTAATGGAAATTACAGTGCCTCAGCCTGCTGGATGCCATTCAGGAGAAATTACAAGGGCGTCATCTTGGTGCTTAAAGAAATGCTCTTACTGCCCATGTTAAACCAAACAGCAATATATAACATTAATCCACGCTCACTGTGAAAAGGGACTTGCAAATGTGAAACCAGTTGTGGGTTGGAGGAGTTAAAGGTGGTTTATTTGTCATAAAAATGTATTTAGCATTACTTAACATGATTTATGCAATTTGTGAATTGTGAAGATTAAAAGTCAACCCACAAACTGAATAGTCAAAAACATTCAGTTCATTAAATGTTAAGCGAGCAGCTGATCGTTCTCTAACAAAGTTATTACGTCTTCTGCGTGAAGATGGAGATGCTTGCACACACCCTGTGGCAACGTGTTTTCCTGTTGCTATAAAGGTGTTCGGTCTGCCATCAGCCAGAGCAGCACTCCCTCTCTGCCCCCTGGAACCCGTCACCGTCACAGCGCCACTGAGAGTGTTAACAGTTTCTGAGCTGATAAGAACAAGTGGTTTGCAAAGTAAATAATCTTATGTTTTTGTATTGAGTGAACAATCTGAGATCCTCTAAGGCAGCGGCTACCAACCGGTGGTCCGTGAGGTCCGAAAGGTTGGAGACAGCTGCTCTAAGGTGCTTTCTGGGGTTTTTAATATATTTTTTTATTGATCAGAGAGGAAGGGAGAGGGAGAAAGAGAGAGAAACATCAATGATGAGAGAGAATCACTGATCCCCTGCCTCCTGCACGCCCCCTACTGGGGATCAAGCCTGTAACCCGGGCATGTGCCCTGCCCAGGAATTGAACCCGGGACCTCCTGGTTCATAGGTCAACGCTCAACCACTGAGCCATGCCAGCCTGGCTCTAAGGTGTTTTCTTACTCCCTCTTCATCACATATTTTCCTGTTTTCTCAAGAGGAGATGAGATATAAGAACTTTTAAAATATATTCTTTAAATAAAGTCTCCTTAGGAATTCAACTCTACCTCCTCCTATTTAGCTGACTTCAGGGACTCACCAGGAAATAAGTCTTGGGTCGGGTACAAGTCTTGGGAGTCTCAGATACGAAACTCCGAATCCTGGTGCTGCCACTGACTGACTGTGTGGCCCGCAGCCAGTGGCCATGTAGTCAGTGGGATTGATTTTAAGTGAGACACCAAGCACATAATAAGTGCTCAGTCAGTGAGAGTGGCTCTTCCCACACACGCTGCTTCCTTCCCGTTGACTCGCTTCAGACAGAACAAACCGCCTTTCCACCGCCTTTCACCTCCTCCTCCACCTCTCTCCGCTCATAGGAGCGGGCCCGCCTCCGGCCAGAGTCTAGCATGGCGTGAGGCATGGGGTGAGCTCAGCCTGAGCAGTGCATGAGGGCCAACTCTGCTGCTCACCAGCCCATCTCATAGGCCACCACTGGCAGCCACTGCGACCCACGCAGCTGTGTGGAACAGTGGTCTCCAGGCTTTTCTGGCTACGCAATTTACCAATAAAAATATTTGGGACACACTGCCCTGACCTGCATGGCGGGGTTCAGGATCTGCAGGAGGGGCCGACACACAAATGAAAATGCTAGACAAAAATATGAAAATAGAAGGCATTGGGGGGCCAGGTAGAAACCTCTTTCTAGGCGAGACACACTGAGTCCTGGCCTTGTCTGCTTTTGTTCAGTTTTAGACACATATCTTGCCGTCAGTAAAGCACGGCAAACAGGTAGCAGACAGAGTGTCTCAAAGATCAGTAAAGGTCAGTAAGGTCCAGTAAACATTTACTGGGAGGCTATCAGGTCGGGAGATTGCTTCGAGCCACCGCGATCTCAACTGAACCATGGGCGCCTATGCTAGCGCTCAAGGCACATGGGCCTCCCGCGCCCTTGTGCACGCTCCTGACAGTGCTGGTGTGCGGTGGCTTCCGCAGCACACACCCCCTATCTGGATACAGCTATTTATACTGTAATATAACATGCATGTTCTAAAATATGTACAAAAATGAGGTAAAAAGAATTTTAATATTTCTTTTTTAATATATTTTTTATTGATTAAGATATTACATATGTGTCCTTGTCCCCACGTTACCCTCTACCCCCTCACCCCCCCCCCGCTCATGCCCTCACCCCCCCGTTGTCCATGTCCATTAAGAATTTTAATATTTCAATAATTTTTTTAAATTTTAAATTCTTTTCTCATCCCCTGTGGATTATCTTGCAAAACTCACTTCGGGAACCGCTGGTGCAGAGTGCCCGTGAGAGTGTGTTAGAAGCCCCAGCGCGATGTAGGTGTGACATGATCGTGGTGAAAATGCCCCATGAAAATGGCGCACAGCAATGGCCCACTGTTTGATGCCTCCTTATGCCAGACACCATTACTTCCCCCATTTTACCGATCAGGAAAGGAAGGCACCGAGAGACCCAGCAACATGCTCCAGGTCACAAAGGCAGGAAGGCGAAGGACAGCTCCCCAGGCCCAGGGCCTGCCGGCCTCTGAGCAGGGCTCTAGGATCCCCCACCCCCAGGGCCAGGGTCCTGCGGGGACCCCTGGGAGGGCAGCCACAGTCTCACCCAGGGGACCACAGTCCCGCTCAGCGGGGGCCTCTCCTTCCCAGGGCTTGTCTTCATGCCGGGCACCACGCAGCTGACCGCCAAGGACATCCTCTACCGGCTGCGGGCCTCTAAGGCCAAGGGCCTGGTGGCCAGTGAGGAGGTGGCCCCAGCAGTGGAGTCCATCGTGTCCGAGTGTCCTGACTTGAGGACCAAGCTCCTGGTGTCTCCGCGCAGCCGGCCGGGGTGGCTCAGCTTCCAGGAGTTATTTCAGTGAGTACCCCCGCCCCCCGCTCTCGGAGTCTCCTTGCTCCGAGGACTCAGCAATACTGTGCGTTGATCTGGGATCCTTCCCAGAAGAGAATCGCCTGCTGGAAGGTCCTAAGGCCGAAAGGGAGGGGTGCAGCTCTGTGTTCTTTCCCTGCGCCCCGCCTCGGCCTGTGGTGAGTGCCCTGCACGGGTGGCCCTTGCCTCCCTCGCGGCCCACACTGCCCATACTCTCCCTGCCTGAGGCCTCTGGCCTCCCTTTTATTCCTCAACCACGCCCTACCTCAGGGCCTTTGCCCAGCTGCCTCTCCTGCCTGGATGCTCTTCCCAGTCCTTCCTGTCAGATTTCAGCTCGAATGTCTTCCCCTCCATGAGCCGTCCCTGGCGCCCATCTAGGCAGGAGTCCACGCCACTCCCAAACGTGGGTGCTGTTCTCTTCACAGCCCTCGACGCTCCCTGAATATCGTGCCCCATCACTTTCCCGGTTTACTGGTTTTCTCCTGTGCCGCAGAGATGGGCAAATTAGGAACCATGGGCCAATTCTGGCAGGACAACTGCTCTTGTAAATAAAGTTTTATTGGAACACAGCCACACGCATTGTCTACACATTGTCCACGTCTTATCAGAGCCAAGTTGAGCAGATGCAACAGGGACCTTAAGGTGCACAAAGCCTGAGACGTTACGTCTGGCCTCTGCCGACACAGCTCGCGACTCCTGCCCGCAACTCAGCCCGCGAGGGCAGAGGCTGCTGCTGGTCACTCTGCCCCCGTCCCCCACTTAAGTCGGCACTTGAACAGTGTTTACCGAAGGAATGACCAGAACCGGTCACATCCCTTCACTCCTTCACGTGTGAAACGGGGCGATGCCCTGCACAGCGTCTCTGGGGGCTGAGGACAGCATTGCTCATGTGAGAAAGTGGTTCCTAAACTGCAAAAAAGGGGCGTGAAATGCTAATGGGAGGTCTGATCCTTCAAACAGCTGTTAGATGGCTCATGTTGAAAAAAATCATTCTGTAGAAATTTATAGGAAAGGGCATGAAACCCCGTCGAGTAACAGCAGTTTCCTTTGTGGGAATGAAGTTTTATCCGACTAGTGAATATAAACCAAGTCCGATTGGCCAATCCCCAAATCCTCTCCCCAGGGCCATGCCAGGGATGCTGTTGTGTGTTTTACTAGTATAAGCTGTCGCTGTGGCTAGTCAGGTGACATCGCTGAGCCTGTGTCTCTCTGGAAAGCAGGGGGCGGGGCCTCCCTTGGGGTGTGGAAGCGGCGAGTGGCGAAGCTCATGCAGGGCAGGAGCGGGGCATGGCCCAGTGGTTATCGCCGCCTCCTGCCGTCTTCGCATTGAGGTCCTCGCACGCAGGCCCTGGCCGCGGCTTCAGAGGCCAGCTGCACACCCCCTTGGGAACGTGTCTCTAACATGCTCCCCGACACACGTGTGTGTACCTGTTTACAAATCAGGACCGTGTGCTTCTGTGCATCGCACGAGTGTAAAAAAGAAACATGTGAAAGGACTAGTCACAGACTACATGCAGCTCGGAGTTCTCCTGTTTTCCTCTGAGGCAGCCCCAGCTGCACACAGGCCCTGGCACCCCGCACCCCCGTGCCAGGGACCCCGTCTTCAACAGCCTGCAGCGTGCGGCTAGGCCCCGGGAACCTTAAATGGGCCGCAAAGCTGACGGAAGAAAAATGTCTTTGAACTCAAGCAAAGTTAGCGTGGGAAACTTCACACTGGAGGTGTTTGCAGGACAAAGGGAATACCCACTGGAATGAACGACTTTGGCGTGTCACGCTCCAAAGGGGCTGCAGACTGTTTCTCTGAGCCACAGCATGGAGAGCCGGCCTTGCCGACAGGCCGGCGGTTCAGAAATCCACACCCAGCACGAGCTGGCTAATTTCGCATCATTGGGGTCAATCTCCTGAGCAGGAGCTCCCCGCCTCCTGCCTCCCAGGGACAGAAGCCGAACACCTGTCAGGATATTCACAACAGGATGTGGAAAAGGTCAAATTATGGGCCAGACTGAGTGTCTCCTTTGCCCTCCTGGGAGCAAGGGCCCTTGGCTGCGGGTCCGGATCCCTGGATTCTGTCCTGGGGACTGGAACAGCTCCCAGCAGAGGAACCGCACAGCGGGGTGGACGCTGGAAACGCCCCCGGGCGTGCAGAGCATGGTGGCTGGGGCACGAAGCGTGACCCGCAGCGAGGCAGGGGCTGGTCCTCCTAGGACCTCACCTGCTCAGTCTTGACCTTCACCCTACAAACAAGGGAGGCCGCTGATGAGTTTTTGGAAGGGACGTGTCAGGTCAGCCCTGGTCTAGATGGCGTTCTCCGGCAGCCGCGTGGAAGGAGGAATTGCGGGGGACCAAATGGGAGTCAGAGAGACCGTCCTAGAGCCTCAGTGGGGGCAGACGAGGAGCGTCTGAGTCTGGTGAGTGGGACGGAGGAAGGAGGCGCGAAAGCCCCGCAGGACCTGGAGGTTGGTTGGACCTGGAGGATGAAGGCAGGCGCCCAGCTGACCTGCTGGTTAACGTGGGTGACTGCAGGGTGGCTCCCATTGGGAGAGAGAGAGTGTAGAGTGGGGCAGGCTGAGATGGCCTGTGACCATCCAGATACCCAGCAAGTGGAGATGTGAGTCGACCCAAGGAGATAAAGGTGCAACTCTGGACGTCGTCGGCATTTAATCGGTTCTGAAGGACCTGGAAGGCTATGACTCAAGCCTCCGAGAAAGGGAGGCACACCTTCGAGTCCTGCTGGAAAATCACCTGTCACTCACAGGCTGTCATAGCGCTTCTTTTAGTGAAAAAGAATGAAAAGCCTTCTCTCCAAGCGTCTTTAAGCGGCTTGAGAAGCATCCGGAACAGGAGGCGTTGTGTTCACAGGGCCGGCCGCCGTGCGCGCTGCACCCGTCTGAGCCCCTTCTTTCCACAGAGACTGAAAGGCGCCAACGCAGTGGATGAGGCTGTGTTTTGTTCTGTTTCTTACTTTTTGGGGGAAGAGGCAAGTTAGCAAGAAAATCACTTTCATGTTTTATGAAACCACATCGGACAGATAGTGGGTGGCCATATAGTCAGTCCTCACTGTTTGCGGTCTCAATGGCCGTCTTATTCGCTTGTCAAGATGAATTAAAATGGTGTCCTCAGCCCTGCTCCCTTCAGCCCAGGAAACTGAAACTACGATTCAAGAGTCTCACGGGCTTGGAGGCATTTTATCGGTTATCGACTGAGGAACAAAACTCAGTGTCAAAGAGCGACCCCCTCTGCTCAGGACGCTGGGCTGGCGTCCGTGCAGGCTCCACAGGCAGTGGGCACCCGCGGGGCTGGGCGATGGGCCAGGCACTGCCCCGCGGCCTCTCTCTCAGCGGCACCTCTGAACGTTCTCAGTGATGCCTGCTCCCCCCAGTGAAGGTGAACTGAAGCCGCGAGCGAGGCCTGGGCCCGGGCCAGCCCCACCTGTAGGGAGGACCGGGCGGAGGCCTGCGCGGGGCTGCAGACCAGCCACCGGACAGCGGCTCAGTTAGAGTGCTCTTGGCTTAGCAATGGGAGAGCAAGCAAAGCGCGTGAACAACGCTGCCTTCTCACACGGTGGGGCTGTGGGGAGAGCGGGCTGAGTGGTTTGATGATTGACAAGGGTCCAGTTCACTCGTCTTCCCACCAGGCCACCTGGGTGTCTGCCAACCCCAGGGGACCCCAGCATGGCTGGGTCGTCCCAGACCCAAAGGCCAGAGAACAAGACGGGGTGGGGGTGGGGCCAGCAGCCCTTCCTCCTGGCTCTTTCTAGAACAAGGAAACAGTCCCCCTAAAGCCTGAGTCTCTCTGGCCCGGACTGCGTCTTGTGCCCATCCCTACACCATGTTCTGCTTAGGCTAACCAGGCTCAGCCCCGCCCCTCCCGACCCCCAGTCCCCACGGAAGCACATGGCTGCCACAGCCCTGACACAATCAGTTTCACCAATGCAAGGAGGATGGGATCTCTCTGGTAAGCAATTAACTGTGTCTGTCAGCGCTATTGAAGATATTAAATAAAAACTATTAAAAACTTTTATTCTAATACCAAAGATCTTCCTTTAAATCATAAAAACTCCTGAAATGCTAATAACAATTTATAGATTCAAAACGTAAAAAAATTCATAGATTAAAAACACTCTGAGAAAAAAATGTTTAAATAAAGTACACATCCCTTTTAAAAAATATTTTTATTGATTTCAGAGAGGAAGGGAGAGAGAAAGAGAGATAGAAACATCAATGATGAGAGAGAATCATGGATCAACTGCCTTCTGCACGCCCCCTACTGGGGATCAAGCCTGCAACCCGGGCATGTGCCCTGACTGGGAATTGAACCGTGACCTCCTGGTTTATAGGTCAGCCACTGAGCCAGGCCAGCTGGCATCTCACTCTTTTTTTTTTTTTTTTTTTAATTGAAAGTGACCTTGGCCATGCCTTTGGCCTATGGGGCAGTGGAGCTTAGAGACAGGTAGCTGTTACCCTCAGCACTGGTCTGCACAGCCCCCCTTGGGTGCCTGAGGAAGCCTCTCGGGAGGCTTTGGATAGGGTTCTGCCTATTAACTGTTTTTCGGGACCAAGAGGGCATAAGTAGGAGCAAAAGGGCGCCAGAGCTGAGCCGGGTTGCTGTCGTCAGCCACATCTGGTCCATGCCTTACAGATGCGCTTCCGCAGAGCACAGCTGTGTGGAGACGGGCAGCCGGGAGCCGGCGGCCATCTACTTCACCAGCGGGACCTCGGGCTCGCCCAAGATGGCCCAGCACTCCCACAGCAGCCTGGGCATCGGGTACACTCTCTGTGGAAGGTAGGAGGAACCGCTGTCTCTGCCAGCCGGCCCTGGGCTGTTGACTCGCGTCTCTAACGGCCTCGCTGACACCCCTGCTTGCGTGGATACCTCCATGTCACATGTACAAAACAGCTCTCGGGGCCCCTGCCAACCTGAGCTCCGTGAGCGGCCGCTCGTCAGGCAGGAGCTCAGGAACCCGCCCGGCTCAGTCCCCACGGGAGACTCCGTCTGGCTCCTCCTCTCCGCCAGGTACATTGACGCGCCCAGAAAGGCCTTCCTAGGTGTCCCCACACGGTCCCCCACCCCCTTCATTTTCCTCACAGCACATCTCTGTTTGCACACTAACTCATCTTGTGCTTATTCACTGTCTCGCCCCTAAAACAAGAGCAGAGATCTGGCCAGTCTTGCTCACTGCTCGTAGCAGAGTGCCTGGCATATAGTGTTTGCTCAGTAAATATTTGTTGCATCAATGGACAAACTCAGGAAATGATGCCAAGCCCTGCCTCCCACTCCACTCTCAGACCACCTAGGATTCGGAGCAGTCTTCTAACAGAAGTGGGAGGTAGAAGCATCATCTTCTTTGGGGCTTCTTTTGACCCTTCTTTGCAGTCATTGAGGTTCCTGCCAGTCCTCAAAGGCACCAGTCTGTTTGCTTTCCTGGCTGTTCTGCTCGGTCTTGTTGCTGCCCCGTGTCATTTAGGTACTGGCTGGACCTGGAGTCCTCGGATACCATATGGAACATGTCCGACACTGGCTGGATCAAGGCCGCCATTGGCAGCGTGTTCTCTCCGTGGCTGCAGGGAGCCTGTGTCTTTGTGCATCAGATGGCCCAGTTTGACACTGACACCTTCCTAGATGTAAGTCGTAACTTCTAGCTACAGCTCTCCTTTGTCTTCCCTCAAAAAGAGAGAGAGAGAGAGAGAGAGAAATGAATCCCCAGAAGAGAGGGGAGTGGGCAGAGAAACATGGCTCAGTTGCCTCCCACACATGCCCTGACCAGAGATCAAAATTAAACCTGCAACCTGGATAAGTATCCTGACTGGAAATCGAACTTGCCACTCTTGGTGCTCCAACCCACTGCGCCACACTGGCCGGGCAGTCACTCTTTTGTAAGACAGATTCTTGGGGGCTTTTGAATGTATTTCACCAGAGTGGAGAGGGAACACCCACCACACTCTTAGGCCTAAAACCCACTCTTGTGCTTCAAATTGTTCAGGATTTCCTATTGTCACCATATCCGTGGCTGCTGAAGAATCTGACTCTAGATAACAAATTAAAAGTCTCAAGTCTAAACAAATCTGGGGCTTCTGATTAGTGAAACGAAGACCATGACTGACAAATCCAGAGCCCTGTGTGGGGGAGGCTGGGCGGGGTTGCTTCTGTCAGAGCAGCCCCTGTTGCTCCCCAGGAGAGACCCTGCTAACTCAGGACCCCGTGGCCTGGGGCCAGCAGCCCCTCCACGCAGCCAGGTTGCAGAGCAGAGGCCCCGCCTTTAACCTTTAGAAAAATGGGACTCAGGCCAATTATTCTTCACCATGAAACACCAATTAGGTTTAACGAAATACATATCATTAAATGAACACCACACCTGTGTGGGCAGGCGGGCTCTCCTCACCCTGCTGTTTTGCTAGGTGGCCTGACGAGATGGCTTGCCGTCTTAACAGGAATGTTGGGAACTGGAATCTCACAGCAGGTGGACAAAGAGTCCTGTGGTAGACAAGTTAACTCTGCAGTTTCAAAACTGCATTTGTAAAATGTGTGTGTGTGTGTGTGTGTATAATCCTCACCTAATATGTTTTTATTCATTTTAGAGAGAGAAGAAGGGAGGAGAGAGAGAAACATTGATGTGAGAAACATTGATTGGTTGCCTCCCAAGCACACCCCTACTGGGGATCAAACCCGAAAACTAAAACTTTAAAAGAAATCCATAGATTAAAAAAGCACTGAGATACATGTGCCCTAACCCAGAATCAAACCCATGAACCTTTGGGACATGGGACGACGCTCCAACCAACTGAGCCACACTTGCCAGGGCTAAAATAAATATGTTTTTATAAAATATTAAATATTTTATACTTAAAATTTTTTGTTTAAAGGCACCTTTAATATATCATGCTTAATGTAATATTATGTAAGATCTATTAACAATGTATTAATTGTTAATATGATTAATTGATATATTAATATATTATGCAATTAATCATATTTAACATAATATTACATAAAATATTAAAATAAGGACATTCTTGCCCTAGCCTGTTTACTCAGTGATTAGAGCATCAGCCCTTGGACTGAAGGGTCCCGGGTTCAGTTCCGGTCAAGGGCACCTACCTCGGTTACAGGCTAGATCCTAGCCCCAGTCAGGGTGCGTGCAGGAGGCAACCAATCCATGTGTCTCTCTCATATTGATGTTTCTCTGTCTCTCACCCTCCCTTCCACTCTTGCTCTAAAAAAAAAAAAAAAAGAAAATTATTATTTTACAAATACAGTGGGGCCTTGACTTACGAGTTTAATTCGTTCTGAGACTGAGCTCATTAAGGAACTCATTAAGGAGCTCGTTAACTCAAATTACTATGTCAACTCAATGCAAAAAATCTGCCGAGAGAGCTGGTATCTCAAAAAACTCGTTAGTCAGGACACTCTTAAGTCAAGGCCCCACTGTACAATGTGTGCATTTTAAGTGCTATGAAAGCGTTTATGGATTTACACTATTCTTAGTCAGAGACACTCCACTTCCTGAGAACAGCTGGAATCCAGGATGCAAGCAACACAGTAGAAATGCTTGCTTACTTGGTCCCGGAGACCATACTTGGTCCATGACACCCAGTGGCCTAGACACCCATCTGGAGGGCGTGCTCTCAGACGCTTACGTCCAATGCGGACAGACTGTCGATCCTGGGACAGAGTGGGCCCTGTCTAGAAAGAGGACCTCAAAACATTAGTATTTCTGCAGGTTTGAGATGCCTTTGATTTAAGGAGCTTGAGGCATAAGGAGCCCTGCAAGTCTGAAACAGCTAATCAAAGGCCTGAAAGACGCCTTGCTCATGCATTTCACCCACCCACTCAACAGGGCTGCAGTCCTTCCTAGAAGCAATGCTGGTAGGTTCGCTTACAGGTCCAGGTCGGTGCTGTCCAGGGGTCAGCACTTCCAAGTTCCTCCGCAAGAGGTCATTTGCGGCCTCAAAGTAGAATAAACCAGTTTGGGGTGGTTCTCAAATTCAACAGCTCAATTTGTTGAATTTGATTGTGCATGTCTATTACTGTAACATATACATATTCCTTCCAATAATTGAAAATTCCCAACAGATGTACAGTCACTAGTGAGAACTAATAAACATTTGCTTTGTTATTCCTATGAGACGGACACAGAGAATTGGGGGCTGTAGACGTCGGCTCTGGGCGAGGCCTTTAATTAGCCGTGTCTGACACCTGTGTCTCTTGTCCAGACGCTCACCACTTACCCCATCACCACCTTGTGCTGCGCGCCCACTGTGTACCGGATGCTCGTGCAGAAAGACCTTAAGAGGTACGTGGGCAGGAATCTGAGCTACAAGCAAAGCTATAATGGGAGCAAGACCGCCTCTCCGCAGACGTCCTGTGCGTGTGGAGGCTGAGCAGCATTCCTGGCCTCCACGGAATGGGTGCCAGCAGACTCCCCCTCCGCCAGCGTGGCCATGAAAGGGGTCTCCAAATAGTGCCTAACGCGGGGGGGAGAGGCTTGTCTCTGCCAGGGGCCATGTGGGTGTTTATAGCATCATTCACAGGCCACGCAAAAGTATCAGCTTAAAGAAAAGCTGCTGTGTGTAGTCCATTTAATAACGCACCCCTAACGCCTCGGCGGGCCAGGACCAAGGGATTTCTAAAGGCTCTACGGCCGCAGGCCAGGCGTGTCCCACCCCTCTTAAAACCTCGGGGAAGGGGGAGGGACAAAATGCCCCCCAGTTTAAGAATAACAGGGTTAGCCTCTAGGAGCCATTGACCATTTCCCAGGGACACCCAGTCCTACAGTTCCAGACCTCCCACACCTCCCACCCCCAAGAAACAGCCGTCACTACATTCATGCCGCCTGCACGAGAAGCCCATGAAGTCTTGTGATTCGAAGATTCTACTCAATTTGGCCAAATCACTTGAACGCCCAGTGGAGCTGCAACGTCCGGAGGAGAGAAAGGAAGAGGGAAACGATTTAAGCGGCACAGGTTCACCCGGCCTCTGCTCCCCGAGGTGTGGACGCCAGAGGCGAGAGGCCGTGAGAGGCCGATCGGGGCAGAGTCAGCATCAGCTCCAGTGTGGCCTCAGATGCAGCCTCGGTCCCGGTCCCCGTCCCGTTTCCGGAGCCACTGCCGCTGCTCAGGGCCGTGGGGAGGCCACTCGCGGCTGCACAGCCTCGGCCGTGGGATCCTCCCGGGTCAGAGCACGGCTGCTCCGGATCCCACGGGTCCTGCGGTTAGAAGCTCCAGCTCCACAGTAAAAAGGCGCGGCGGTGCCACTTACGAACAGTGCGCCCTCAGGCCCACGGTGACCCTGATGCGCTGCCTACCGCCACCCACAGAGGACGGAGAGCCCCTCTGGCTGTGGTGAGGCCGCAGGCCAGCAGCTGAAGAGGCACCCGCCAGTGTCTCACGGAGAGCAGCCGCTCCGCCCTCTGCTCAGCCTCAGTTTCCTCCCCTGTGAAAGGGGCTCGGGTTAGGAGATGCTCCTAAAGCCCTTCAGCCAGCCAGCCCGCAGCCACTGCTAGCTGTCGTCCGTCACTTGTAAGGCTCACAGCCAGGGGTTACCGGCAGCATCAGCATTTCCTCCTGCGTCGCTCCTCCTTCCTCGCCTGCTAAGGTGCATGCTCTGCCAGGAAACTGCCTGGAATAGCGTGTGGCAGGACCGAGGAGCTCAGCAAAAGCTCCTCCAGTCACCCCTCGGGAGGCGTGCTCCCCAGCCTGTTTGCTTGTGGCTAGGACATCCTAGTTACCTTGTGATGAAAGCCACTCAGCGCCGCCCCCCACTCCCACCCCCACCTAACTCAGCTCTTTGTCCCTCAAGATACAAATTCCTGAAGCTGCGACACTGCTTGACGGGAGGGGAGCCCCTCAACGCAGAGGTGCGGGAGCAGTGGAAGAGGCAGACGGGGCTGGACCTGCACGAGGGCTACGGACAGACGGAAGTGGTGTGTGCAGGGGGCGCAGCTGCGCCCCTGGAGTGTCCCGGTCATGCTTGAAGTTCTCAGGGCGCTCCTTCCCCTGCCAGTAGTTACCAAAACTTCTGAATTACCCGGTCAGGGCTGGCGAGGGGAATTGTGATGGTCCCTTATAGGCTTCCTGTCTCCTCCCACTCAGAAGTTTCAGAGGGCGAGGGGTTGCAGAGGTTCAGAACTGTGCAGCTCATCTTTCTTTATTATTATTGTTGTTGTTATTTATTGATTGATTTTGAGAGAGGGAAACATGGACCTGTTGTTCCATTTAGTTGTGCGTTCATTGGTTGATTCTTATATGTGCCCTGACCGGGGATCAAACCCACAGCCTTGGCGTATCGGGAGGATGCTCTCCAAGTGAGCTACCGCCAGGGCTCCGCACTCATCTTCCCATCACACTGGGAAGGACCAGAGAGCCCCAGTGAGGAGTTCATCCAAGGTGCCTGTCAGGTACCTCAGCCTAAAGGAGTGGTCGCACCTGTGGGCCTCCAACCTGCAGTGCCAGCGGCATGTGGGAATTTGGTAGAAACACAAATTCTCAGAATCCCCCTCCCCAGACCCACTGAGTTAGAAACTCTGGGACGGGCCCAGAACCTGTGTTTTAACAAACCCCAGGTGATTCTGACAAACACTCAAGTTTGAGAACCACCAGTCTAAAGTACTTTAGAATATGAGCTTGCATACTGGGAGAGCTGGTACTTGCATACTGGGAGAGCTGGTGCTTGCATACTGGGAGAGCTGGTGCTTGCATACTGGGAGAGCTGGTGCTTGCATACTGGGAGAGCTGGTAAAAACCGAGTCCCGGTGGCACTGTTGTAATATAAACAGCTGCTGAAAATGAATCTTTGCCTATTTATATAAAATGCGTTCCCTACAGGGCATCATTTGTGCCAATCTGAAAGGACAGGAAATTAAACCGGGCTCGATGGGGAAGGGAGTCCTGCCCTATGATGTCCAGGTGGGTGACACCGACTGGTTCAATAAATAATGTTTCCTGTCGTTTTCCGCTGACCATTATAGAACGATTCCTAACCCATTTTCACTTTGTGAAAAAAGAAACTTAAAGAACCTAAACTGCTTCTTTCATTCTAGATTATAGATGAAAATGGCAACATCCTGCCGACAGGCCAGGAAGGAGACATTGCCCTGGCGCTGAAGCCTCCCCGGCCCTTCTCTTTCTTCTCAGAATATGTGGTAGGAGTGAGAGCTGCTCTGCTTGAACAGAAGCGCTGGCTGGGGGTGCAGGCAGACTGGGGCCCAGGCTTACCACCGTGTTGGCACGGAACCTGGGGCAAGTCCCAGCGTCCAAGTCTACTCAGCTGTGAAGGGGGAACAGTCTCTGTCTCCTCGGAGTTTGTGAATATTAAAGTGCGCGGCTAGAAACCGCTGAGGTGGCTGCGGGGAGGGGGGCGAGGGCCCTAGCGATGAGAGATTTACTTGTTATACTCTCGGGCCTTCTGTGTTCTATACTATAAACTACCTTCTTAAAAATTCGCTTCTTTTAGAATTAGGATGTGCAGTGTATTAGTCACTTCATGGGCGCCAGGCCCCTTTTTCTGTTCTGACCAAATTAACCCCCGGGTCATCTTTGATTCCTAGGACAATCCAGGGAAAACCGCCGCCACGATAAGAGGGAATTTTTATGTCACTGGAGACAGAGGCGTGATGGACAGCGACGGGTACTTCTGGTTTGTTGGCAGAGCTGATGACGTCATCATATCCTCCGGGTTGGTACCTTTGCCACAGCCAGAGCGTAGCCCCTCGTCAGGGGAGCCTTTGACTCGGTGGTGCAGGCTGTACCTGCCTTCTCTTCCTCCAGGTACCGCATCGGGCCCTTCGAAGTGGAGAGCGCGCTGATTGAGCACCCAGCAGTTGTGGAGTCGGCCGTGGTCAGCAGTCCAGACCCCATCAGGGGAGAGGTAGCGTGAATGCCGCTAATGAAAGCAGCAACTTCAAACTTCCAAGTTCTGTCCATTTGGCTGCTCTAAAGAGTGAATCAAGAGTAGCATGTAATTCTCTTATGAGGCACACATGTGGCAAAAACATACACTGGCATCCACATCCCACGTGAATTGTGTCCCAAAGGGGATGTATTAGGATTGACTGACTTTTAAAAAGAAAAAAAAAGGAATTTATTGGCTGACCACAAGTGAGGCCTACAGGTACAGCCACACCCAATGGTTCACATGCAGTTGGCAAAACCTAGCCTCTCCATTTACTGGCTCTGCTGCTCTTCAGGGTGCCTCCATTTGGGGAGGGGGGGGGCCTTTCTACTCAACAGCAGCCAGATATGCACAGCTTCACCACATCAGGGAAGGGGATGGCTTCCCTGCCAAGTCCCAAGCAATTCCCAGAGTCCATGTGCCTGTCTTAGATCACATCTCTCACCAAAGTGGTCCGGATGGTGATGCGGACTGGCTAGACCTGGATCAGATGCTGGTCATTGGAGCCAGGAGTTAGAGTCAACGCCCCCAGAGGTTAGGGTAACCCTCCTCAGGAAAGTCAGGGCACTGTTACCAAAAAGGGGGCCACAGATACCGCACAAGCAAGGGCTGCAGGTTCTACTGTATGCACATTGTCATGGCCTCAGAATGTATTTTCTCACAGAAACAAAGCAAACAGGAGATGCTGGCCAGGTTGCCAAACAAGCTCCAAAAGCCGCCCTAGGACCTGATGACAGGAAACTTGGGGGGTGACTGCAGTGGCTCAGCTCTAGGAGGAAGCGCGTGGCATGGAAGGGAGATGCCCTTCCTCACGGACGTTTCCTGCACTCAGTAGGGCAACATTTTAAAATCACTTTGCCTGTCAGTATCCTCCCACAGCTTTCTCTGCCCTCACATAGCAATGCCCTCGCAGTGCCCTGGGTCCCACACCCGCACACCCTGTACCACGTCCACACTCAGTGGGTTCCTTTCTCCAAAATATTGTTCTCCTGCCACCATCTTCTCATCCTCTCAACATAACTGATTTCAGCTGAACTTCAAAAGTAAACACGAATTAGAGTCAATGTGTGAATTAATAATTTAAACTATACTTGCTAACCCTCAGAATTACCTAACTGGTGGATCTTAAATAGTATTCAAAGAGAAGCGAAAAATAGCAGGCAAGCAAGACCTTTCAAAGGTAGCTCAGTCTTCCCCGAGATTCCATCTCCCAGCGAACACCATCCCCCTTCACCCTCCCAAGCTCCCTTCACACCACATTCTCCAGAGCCTCCGTTTGTCCCACTCATGCTCCTAGCGGTGCAGTTTGATGGAGTGAGAGGGCATCTGTGAGACTGCCATGCAAACACATGTGTGACATGGAAGTAAGAAACCTTCAGCTTTACTGAACCCCTGGCTCACGCTCACAGACCGTTCCCCTGGGTTACACCTCCAGCCTCGCTGTGCCCACGCTGTTCAGACTCAGGGGAATCTGGCTTCTCCGCACTCCTCACTCAGCTGCTGCTAGCGAACCAAGAGTGCCTGTGTCCTGATTGGTTCCCAACTCTTTTTTTTTTTTTTTTAAATTTATTGCTTAAAGTATTACAAAGGGTATTACATATGTGTCCATTTTATCCCCCCGCCCTAGACAGTCCCCTAGCCTCCCCTATCCCCCAGTGTCTTATGTCCATTGGTTATGCTTATATGCATGCATACAAGTCCTTTAGTTGATCTCTTACCCCCCTACCTCCTGCCCCCCACCCAACTCTTGATGTGTCTGAAAACAGACTTAGTGATATCAATTCATTCTTCTCCTGCAGGTAGTGAAAGCTTTTGTTGTCTTATCTGTGCCCTTCAAATCATCTGACCCAGAGAAATTAACTCTTGAACTTCAAGAGCATGTGAAAAAAATAACTGCACCGTACAAATATCCAAGAAAGGCAAGTATAAGTCAAGTGTATGTGACCAAACAAGGGTCTAAGCTAGTAGGTATATAGATCTTATTAGCTTTTTAATTTTAACTTTTTAAAATCTTTATTGTTGAAAGAATTACATATGTCCCCTTTTTTCTCCTCATATACAGAAAATATGCATTTCATTTTGTTAAGCTCTAGGACCAGAAGTCCTCAAACTTTTTAAACAGGGGCCAGTTCACTGTCCCTCAGACCATTGGAGGACTGGACTATAGTTTTAAAAAAAACTATGAACAAATTCCTATGCACACTGCACATATCTTATTTTGAAGTAAAAAATCAAAATGGGAACAAATACAGTATTTGTATTTGCATGTGGCCCTCGGGCCGTAGTTTGAGGACCCCTGCCTAGGACAGTGGTTCTCAACCTTGGCTGCACATTAGAATCACCTGGGAATCTTTTTAAAATCCTGATTTCTGGGCCCCATCCTCCGGAAATTCTGTTTCTTTGTTATGGGGTGAGACCACAACATGAGTAACAAAGAAACAGAATTTCCGGAGGATGAGGTCCAGAAATCAGGTATTTAAAAAGATTCCCAAGTGATTCTAATGTGCAGCCAAGGTTGAGAACCACTGCTCTAAGAGTTTTGCTTTAAAATATTTTATACTAGGACATTACAAATGCTTGACAAACCAGAAGTTTTAATTAACTCTGTAATATTGAGTAACTAGCAAGAAGCCTCATAGGACTAAGTCAGTCCCATTCCATGTGAGGGGGAAAATGGTGGCAAATTGTTCCTAAAGACAGTACCCAATTCAGCTACCAGAGTGCTCTTGGGCCTAATATACTCGCAAATTCAAAGCACAGGCCTTGTACAGACAGCTGGGAAAAGTCCAATGGAATCCAGTGTCTCATGATGTTTTGGTGATTAGGTGGAGTTTGTTGAACAGCTCCCGAAGACCATCACGGGGAAAATCAAGCGCAATGTCTTAAGAGACCAGGAGTGGGGACGGACATAGCCAGATGGAAGCGAGCGTGAAGTACCGACAGGGCGGCTTTCTGTTTCCTGATGGTTCAGTGACAACTCTCTTAAAATGTGTAAGATTTTTCCTGAGTCTGTTTTGTAGTTAGTCAAAAATAAATAAAAATCTAAATATTGGAGGAATATTGTTATGATAACTAAACCGACACAATGATTATGACTTATAGTGTTTAAAATTGCAGGGCTCAAATGATTGCTTGGAAAAACAGTGGACAATGAATTTATTTTGTGCCTGATTAAACAAAAATAAAGATTAGAAGTATTCAAAGAGAAATGTTCAAGACAGAACTCTGCTTAACTTTTTTATATATTACTAATTCTTTAAGAGGGATTAAAATATTAACATTTAAGTGAGAAATAAACATGTAATTCAAAAGCCAGTAAGTAAATTTAATTAAGTACTATATTACTAGTTATCATTCTGAAGCAAATTCACTATAAAGTATCTGAAACTTGGACCACTTAAAAGTAATTATTAAAAATAAATTTTTGTTTCTTTACTTTTTAAGACAATGTAGTAACTATTATTGATACACTAGAGGCCCAGTGCATAAAACTCATGCACTGGGTAGGGTCCCTAGGCCTAGCTGGCAATCAGGGACCATCAGGTCCCCTGCCTCCCTGCCTCCGAGGCAGCAACCTCAGCAACCCATCGATGCCACCAGTCATCCACCATGTTCCATGTTGCCCCCTGGTGGTCAGCACATGTCATAGCAAGTGATCGAACTTCAGGTCTCCCAGTTGAACTCCAAGGGGACACTGCATTATTAGACTTTTATATATATACTAGAGGCCCAGTTCACAAAAATTTGTGCACTCGGGAGGGTCCCTCAGCCGGGCCTGTGCCCTCTCGCAGTCTGGGACCCCTCGGGGGATGACTCCCCGGGGGATTGGGCCTAAGATGGCAGTCAGACATCCCTCTGGCAGCCCGGCAGCCCTCGGGGGATGTCCAGTTGCCAGCGGAGAGCAGGCCTAAACTGCAGTCAGACATCCTTAGCGCTGCTGAGAAGGCAGGAGAGGCTCCACCACCACCGCTGTACTGGCAGCCATCAGCCTGGCTTGTGGCTGAGCAGAACTCCCCCTGTGGGAGCACAATGACCACCAGGGGGCAGCTCCTACATTGAGGGTCTGCCCCCTGGTGGTCAGAGTGTCATAGTGACCAGTGATTCCCAGTCGTTCTGCTGTTAGGGTCAATTTGCATATTACCCTTTTATTATATAGAGGCCTGGTGCATGGGTGGGGGCCGGCTGGTTTTCCCTGAAGGGTGTCCAGGTTCAGGGTGGGGGTCCCGCTGGGGTGCCTGGCCAGCCAGGGTGAGGGGCTGATGGCTGTTTGCAGGCTGGCCAAGCCCTCCAGCGGGTACCCTTACCCCATGAGGGTGTGGCCAGCCTGGGTGAGAGGCTGATGGCTGTTTGCAGGCTGGCCACAGCCCCTTCAGGGTAGGGGTCCCTACTGGGGTGCTTGGCCAGACTGGGTGAGGGGCTGAGGGCCATTTTAAGGCTAGCCACACCACCTTCAGGGTGGGGGAGGTTCCTGCTGGGGTGCCTGGCCAGTCTGGGTGAGGGGCTGATGGCTGTTTGCAGGCTGGCCACAGCCCCCAGCCACCCAAGCTCCCAGTGGAGGCTGGCGGGAAGCAGGTATCTGGGATTTATTTATCTTCTATTATTGAAACTTTGTTGCCTTTTGCAGAGGCCACAGCTGGCCAGGGCAGGGTGGGAAGCTTGGCTTCCCCCATCGCCAGGGCAACCAAGCCTCCGGCTTGCTCCAGCTCCATGGCTGCCAGCCACCATCTTGGTTGGGTTAATTTGCATATAGTCGCTCAGATTGGCTGGTGGGCGTGGCTTGGGTGTAGCGAAAGTATGGTCAATTAGCATCTTTGTCTTTTATTAATGTAGATATATACTAGACGTCCAGTGCACGAATTCGTACACGGGTGGGGTCCCTCGGCCTGGCTGGCAATGGGGTCCGATAGGGTTGGCCAGCCAACAGGGGGGAGGGACCATGGGAGGTTGGCTGTGGGAGCATACTGACCACCAGGGGGCAGCTCCTGCATTGAGCATCTGCTCCCTGGTGGTCAGTGTGCATCATAGCTACCGGCCAGTCGTCTAGTCATAACGGTCGCTTAGGCTTTTATATATATAGATATAAAATACTAGAGGCCTGGTGCATGAAATCCGTGCATGGGAGTGGGCGGGGGGGGGGGCCATCCCCACTGCCCCCTCCCACCAGTCTGGTTGCCCCGAACTGCCCCCTCTGCCAGCCTGGTCACCCCTAACTCCCCCCCTCATCCCCACCGGCCTGGTCGCCTCACGCAGCCTGCGTTCGGTCATTTGGTCGTCCCTCACTAACCCCCCTCACTCAGCCCAGCCTGCACCCTCCCCAATCCGGGTCCCTTCGAGGGATGTCCAACTGCCGGTTTAGGCCTGGTTGGGCCTAAATTGGCAGTTGGACATCCCTCTCACAATCCGGGACTGCTGGCTCCTAATTGCTCACCTGCCTACCTGCCTGATCGCCCCTAACTGCCCCCCTGCCAGCCTAATCACCCCTAACTGCCCCTCCTGCTGGCCTGGTCATCCCCACTGCCCCCTCCCACCAGTCTGGTTGCCCCGAACTGCCCCCTCTGCCAGCCTGGTCACCCCTAACTCCCCCCCTCATCCCCACCGGCCTGGTCGCCTCACGCAGCCTGCGTTCGGTCGTTTGGTCGTCCCTCACTAACCCCCCCCACTGCCGGCCTGGTCGGCCCATGCAGCCTGCTGTTGTCATCAGTCCAGTTGCTTCGGTCGTGATGGCCCCTGGCTTTTTATATATTAGGATAAGTTGACATTAAACATCTTTTGTGATATGTCTATTATAAAGCAAGAGATTTATTAAGAGGCAGAAAGAGAAAAAAAGTACAGACCAATCTTTATGGAACAATTTTATTTTGATTTTTTCTAAAAATATCAGGAACTATAAAAAAAACAAGCTTGATATTTGGCTGTACCAAAATCAGTACAAGTAAAACCAAAAGCAATACAAGAATAACATTCAGAAATCATGTTTAAGTTTAGAGAAACATGTTTGAAAGTAGCAAGTTTAATGCTTGTTTCTCCATAGAGCAAAACAAGTTTACTGGACCACAACACTGCTGTGTACTTTTTAAAACTGACATAATTTTTTAAAAAGAAAAATTTAAAGAAAGCATTCAGTTCTAACCTGGAACCTCGTCACTTATAGAATAACATGCTCACGTCAGTGAAAATAAAGTTGGTAACCTTGAAAACGAGTCTTTTACTGGATGAACGCAAAGATTCCAACAGAACACAGCCCTTTACAGCTGGGAGGTCAGCTCTGGTCACCCAGGTCTCCTGAACGTAAACAAACACAGTGGGGAGTGAAACAAACGACTACACCCGAATCTTCCTGTAGCAGCAGCTTTCACAAAATGAAAGGAACCCAGCTCCACAGGTGCAGGAATGGCCATTTAATTCCAAGTCCCAGAGTCTTGCACTGTTGAAATAAAAATAATCTCTGACTTGGAGCAAGTCCGATGAAGACACCAGAATCCTACCCTATTCCCCCAAATGATACTTTGAATGCTCTTATCATCCTTTCAAGTTGACTTCAACCTATTAGGAACTGACGTTCCAGGTAGGGAAGTCCCAGCCTCACCTGCATTAGCAGCCCTGTCTATTCCCCTTGCCCATCCAAATCTTCTAGTGTCGTTTGCCAACCCATGCTCACTAGTCCCTAAACAAACAGAGCCATTGGTGAGGGAAGACTTCCATTTGTGTAACTTCCAAACTTTTTTAAAAAGTGTTTTTATTGATTTTAGATAGAGAGGGAGAGGGATAGAGATAGAAACATTGATGAGAGACATCGATTGGCTGCCTCCTGCATGGCCCCTACTGCTGATCGAGCCTGCAACCTGGGCATGTGCCCTGACTGGCAATCAAACAGGGTTTGGGGGGCTGGGAGGAGGAGGGCCTGGTTCATGGATCCGTGCTCAACTACTGATCTATACTGGCTGGGCATTTCCAAATATTTTTAAATTTAAATCTCCAAAAGCTAACTTCACAGCCCCTTAATATTCTTAATTTCGCAACCCACTTTGGTGTCTGCCTCTTCCGGCTTTTTTCAGTTTTGCCCTGGAGGAACCCTTGAAAAACACATTCAAATTAAGGGAACCCCCATGGTCTGTGTGTGAGGGCACTAAACTGAAGGGCGCTCTATGTCACAGAAATCCAGTGTCAGAGTAGGACGCAGTTCATTTTCTTCCCCAGACAAAATCTCAGGCTGAGACTCAGAAAGGGGTTCCCCTCCCAGCCACTCACAAGTGTTAGGCAAAGGAGGGAAAACACTATTCAATTTGGTTTAGCAGTTCTTCCAGGAGAGTTAGGGGCTTGAGCCTTGTTACTTTCTTCACTCTCAAACCCAAGTGGTTGTTCCAAAGTCCATTTCTTTTTAATCTAAGAATCTTGTCACTTTTAAGAAAAAATCTTTTCTCTAGGACCCTGCAGAAACATATTTGTTTGTTCATGCAATGAGAAGTATCTCTTAGCCATTCTTCATCTTCAAGGCACTCAGTAAAACCGGGCCCAGTATTTTGTCTGTACTCTGGTCATTCACCGCCAAAGAGTCATGTGCTCTTGGTTCAGGATTTAGTTTGGGGCTTTAAAAAACATATCCTTGCATAAATGAAGTCTTTACTAAAGTAACCATTTTGTAGCATTATCCAAAACTTTCATCTCATGTTTTATATCAGCACCTCTCTGTGGAGAGAGCAGTGTGCTACATCAACATTATATTTTTTTTTTAAATGAGGCAAAATGTGTCATGAAGCCAACTGCTGATGGGCACCAGGAGTACAGATGACAGACCTTTGCTTTTCAGATATGAAGACCCATTACATTTATACTGGCCTTTGTTTTGGAAGGCATCTAGCAGCAGAAAGTTTTCTTGATTCATCGTTTACAAATCTTGCAAATGCGGCACCATGTCAAATATTCATCATAGTTGTATGAATGTCTAACCACTATGCTGTATACCTGAAACTAATAAAATATTGAATGCCAACTGTTGAAAAATTAAAAATAAATTTAAAAATATTCTTGGAATCTGTTGACTCATCAACCCAGATAAATTGCTACTTTGCAGTTAATGACAAAAGAAAACTTTTTAGCATCATGTGATATATAAGTCAATTTATTAAACTGGAGTAAAATCTTTTCAATTTCTTGAACTTCTTGCCCTAGCATTTCAATGTTGGTTTTATTAGATTCTTACCAACTATGTGAGACTTTATTTTGTGGAATAAGTTCTGCTACTAGATAATTTGCTTCCTACACTTTTTCACTGAATGTGATTTTTTAAACAAAAAATCTTTACTATTTTGATATTCCAAAAATCATTTAAAATAATCAACACTTTTACTTATCAAATGGCTATGATTTAGTTGCAACTGCTGGACCAAAATCTAGGTTTATAGGTTGCATTCCAGATGATATACACTGGAATAGGACAGCTTGGATTATACGTCCATATAAAACCATTAGAAAGTAGCTTTCACTGTAAAGAATTTCTTTTCGTCCTTTGTTGCACTAATATACTCAAGTAACTCTGAAGCCTATAATTCTTCATCACTAACCTGATCAGAAATGTCTGTGTTCTATGCCTAGCACAGTCCTCTTCTACCTCACACCTTGCCTTCAAAAATGGTTGCACTGGACCATCAGATTTGTTTGTAATAAACAAAAAATTTTATTTTTAATAAAATACAAAACGGGCATAACAGCTAAACAAGAAATCACAAAAAGTTCAAAAACTTCACAAAACAATTCACTTCTAACCTTTTGACCCATGTTTTTGCAGTTTACAACAAAGTATCAGGAGACAACTGAGCTGCAGCACACGACAATTCCTTCCTAAGAATGAACATTTCCCTCGAAGTTCGCCCCCATCAGTCAGTCGGTGGGCAGTGCTGGGGCAGGTAGTCAGGAGGGAGCGGCCAATGTCATACTCCTACCACACTCCCTCTGTGAATAGTGCTCACCAATCACCCACAGGGTCCAGCCCAACCCCGTGGCGGGCCCACCGCACTCTGCCATGCAGGCACACACAGTCTCTAAGGAACTGTCAGCAGGGCGGCTCCGTCACTGCTCACTACTGTGAGCACGGCGTTATGCAGCACAAGAAGTTCAAAAACAACATTTTCAGTAGCAATTTTATATGGAACCCCAGCAACAGCTCGCAGAATCCCAGTAGAGAAACTCACCTCCAACATCAAAAGACTTTTTTCCCTATAAGAGGTCATTTTCATTTGACTCAGATCCTTCTGTGACTTGACTTGCAAGTTCAGGTTTAGCTCCTTCCTCGTGTGCCACCTGTGTCTCAGATACCGGTTTTGCCAGCCCCTGCTCCTCACTATTCTCCGGTGCCTGCTGGCTATTTTTTCCGTCTGCTGGGTCATTTTGATTTGATCTGTCACCAGCTTCCAATTTAGCTTCTTCCCCATTTCCTGCTTGGACTGCCTGCTTGGGGTCGAGCGGCCGTGGGTCCTGAGCGCTCTTGGCCACCTCCTGGAGATTATACTTCCTGAACAACACGTAATCTTTCACAACACTCAGGCAGCACACAGCCTTGATGATTTCCACTACCACTGTGTACTGCGGGTTGGTAAGATCCACTTTGTTTTCCGAGTTGAGGCTTCCCACTATTCCTGTAGAAAAAAGAGGGAAAAACTTAGGCTGAGAGGGTACTGTGACGCTTCAAGGATACAAAAACATTCTTTCATCTCTCTGCCTGGGACTTGTTAAACCAAAGCACATACAAGTGCTCTCTTCCACACAGGCCTCAGTCACATCCCCTGACCACTTTCAAAAAATAAATGCAAATGAAACCCTGAGACATTTAATAAGAATACTTATTTTCCAAAGAAAAATTCAATCTTGGTTTGGAAAAGACTTAATATCTAACTATCAGAAAACCTCATATCCAACATACTGAAATGAGTTAGGTTTAATATTATTTTAAAGACATTTTAATATATTTGCTCTACACTAAAAAATGTAAGCCTTAAACCTTTAAAAACTTATTTTTAAAACTTATTTTTTTCAATTATAGTTTACATTTGATATTATTCTGTATTAGTTTCAGAAAAACAGTATAGTGGTTTGACAAACACATAATTTATGGAGTGGCCCCCCCCATAACCCCCACCGATATTTCTAGTACCCACCTGATCCCATTCATAATTATAATGCTGAATATATTCCTTATGTGGTACTTTACAGTACTGTGACTATTCTTTAACTACCAATTTGTACTTCTTAATCCCTTCACCTTTTCACCCAGTCCTTCAACCATCTCCCCTCTATCAACCGTTCTGTTCTCTGTACCTGAGTCTCTTTCGATTTACTGTTCTTGATTCCACATATAAGTGAAATTATACGGTATTTGTCTTTCTCTGACTTTTTTCACTTAGCATAATACCCTCTAGATTCATCCATGCTGTTGCAAAAGGTAAGTTTTTTTCTTTTTTATGGCCAAGCAGTACTCCATTGTGTATTATGTGGGTGTGCCACAGGTTTTTTATACACTTGTCTATTGATGAGCACTTGGGTTGCTTCCATATCTTGGCTATTGTAAATAATGCTGCAGTGAACATGGTAATGCATATCTTCTTTCAAATTAGTGTTTTGAGCTTCTTTGGATATATTTTTAGAAGTGGAATCACTGGGTCATAGGGCAATCCTTTACATCAATAGATGCAAGAAAAGCATTTGACAAAATCCAGCACCCATTTATGATAAAAACTCTCAGCAAAGTGGGAACAGAGGCAACATATCTCTAAGGCCACATATAACAAACCCACAGCCAACATCATACTCAACAGGGAAAAACTAAAAGTGTTCCCTTAAAGTGAGAAACAAGACAGGGATGTCCGCTTTCACCACTCTTATTCAACGTAGTACTAGAAGTCCTAGCCACAGTGATCCGACAAGAAGAAATAAAAGGCATCTAAATTGGATAGGAATAAGTAAAACTGTTATTATTTGCAGACGACACGATACTGTATATAGAGAGCCCTACCTATTCCACACAAAAAAACTACTAGAACTGATACATGAATTCAGTAAAGTAGCAGGATACACAATAAATATCCAAAAATCAGTTGCATTTTTATATGACAACTAGAGGCCCGGTGCATGAATTCATGCACAGGAGGGGTTCCTAGGCCTGGCCGGCTATCAGGACCATCTCGCCAAGTCCCGATTGGGGCCTGCTGGCCAGGGAGAGGGCTGTGGGAGGTTGGCCAGACGGCCGGGGGGAGGGACCAGAGGAGGATGGCCGGCCACAGGAGTTTGGCTGTGGTAGTGCACTGTCCACCAGAGGGCAGCTCCTGCATTGAGCATTTTCCCCTTGGTGGTCAGTGCTCATCATAGCGACTGGTCGACCAGTCGTTCTGATTGTAATGGTTGCTTATGCTTTTTTATATAAAGATAATGAACTATCAGAAAGGAAAATTAAAAAACACATCCATTTACAACTGCATAAAAGATACCTAGGAATAAATTTATTTTATTTTATTGATTTAGAGGCCTGGTGCACAGATTTGTGCACTGGTGGGGTCCCTCGGCCTGGCCTGAGGGGATTGGGCTGAAACTGGCTCTCGGACATCCCCTGAGGAGTCCCAGATTGCGAGAGGGCAGTTCTTGGGTGACACACCCTAGAATCGGGCTCCCTCCTCTCTGGTTCCGGGTGCGTAACCTGAGAACCGCAGCTGCCAAATCACCACAGCTCGGCAGCTACTGCATTGAGCACCTGCCCCCTGGTGGTCAATGCGCATCATAGCTACCAGTCGGATGGTCGAACAGTCACTTAGGCTTTTATATATATATAGTTATGTATGTGTGTATAGATAGATAGATAGATAGATAGATAGATAGATAGATAAGATAGATAGATAAGATAGATAGATTCCAGAGAAGGAGGGAGAGAGGAATAGAGAGGTGAAAGGGAGGAAGGGGAAGGGGGAGAGGGAGAGGGAGGGGGAGGGGGAGGGGGAGAACCATGGCTGTGAGAGACATACATCAATCAGTTGCCTCCTGTTCTTGCTCCAACTGGGGGTTGAACCCGCAACCTAGGTATGTGCCCTGACTGGGAATCAACTCCATGACTTTCTATTGCACGGAATGACTATCCAACCAACTGAGCCACACCAGCCAGGGCTCTAGGGATAAATTTAACAGAGGAGGTTACAGAAAATTATAAAACATTAAAGAAAGAAATCAAAGAAGATACTAATAAATAGAAACATATACCGTGCAATCTATAGATTCAACACAATTCCTATCAAAATTCCAATGGTATATTTCACAGAACTAGAAGAAATAATCCAAAAATTTGTATGGAAACACAAAAGACCCAAATAGTGACAGAAATCTTATATTTTTTTTAACTGATTTTAGTGAGAGAGTGGTAGGGAGAGGGAAAGAGAGAGAAAGATAGATGTGACAAAGAAACATCGATCGGCTGCCTCCCATATGTGCCCTGGCTGGGAATCAAACCCACAACCTGAATATGTGCCCTGACCAGGAAGTGAACCCACAACCCTTTGGTGCATGGGGCCACACTCCACATGGACCAGGATAGCAACAGATATCTTGAAAAAAGAAGACAAACTGGGGAGTATCACACTACCTAATATCAAACTATACTACAAAGCCATCGAAATCAATACAGCATGGCACAGGCAGAAAAACAGACACATAGCTCATGGAATCAGAGAGAGCCCAGAGATAAACCCACCCCTATCCAGTCAATTAATCTTTGATAAAGGAAGCAAGAATGTACAATGGGACAAAAACAGTCTATTCAATAAATGGTGCTGGAAAAACTGGATGGATACGTGCAAAAAAAAAGAAAGAAAGAAAGAAACTAGGCCACCTTCTTACATCATACGTAAGAATAAGCTCAAAATGGATGAAAAACTTAAAGTCTCAAAACCATAAAACCCCTAGAAGAACACATAGGAGTAACATCTCAGATGTTTCCCGTAGCAATACTCTTTTGACACCTCTTCTTGGACAAGGGAAACAAAGAAAAAATAAACAAATGGGACTACAGTAAACTAAAAAATTTTTGTACAGCAAAACAAAGAGACAATCTACAGAATAGGAAAGCATAATCACCAATGACATGTCCAATAAGGGATTAATATCAAAATTTATAAAGAACTCAGACAATTCAACACCAGAAAAACAAACAACCCAATTAAAAAGTGGGGCCAGCCAGAATGGCTCAGTGGTTGAGGGTCAACCTATGAACTAGATGGTCACAGTTTGATTCCCAGTCACGGCCCATGCCTGTTTCAGACTTGATCCCCAGCGTGGGATGTGCAGGAGGCAGCCAATCAATGATTCTCTCTCATTATTGATGCTTCTATCTCTCTCTTCCTTCTCTGAAATCAATAAAAATATATTAAAAAAAAAAAAAAAAGTGTGCAGAAGACCTGAGTAGACACTTCTCCAAAGACTACACACAGATGGCCAATAGACACATGAAAAGATGCTCAATGTCACCATCAGAGAGATGCAAATCACACCACAATTAGATATCACCTCACACCTGTCAGGATCATCAATAAATCAATAAACAACAAGAGCTGTTGAAAATGTGAAAAGGGAGCACTGTTGGTGGGAATGTAAATTGGTGCAATCACTTTGGAGAAGAGTGGAGTTTCCTAAAAAAAATTCATACAAACAAGAACAAGAATTACCTTGCACACCAATGTAAAATCACTAAGAGAAATATACCTGCCAATTCTTTGATAACTTCTTCTCTATTCACATGACTGTTATTTCGAGCTTTATATACAATCTGAAATGTCCCTTTATTTGGAGCTTTAAACCAGGGTTCCAAAAAAGTTTCTGCATATTTTTTCATATCTTCTAAGAAAGCCTTGCATGTGCCTGAGATGGGTAACATTCGTAGAATAACCCGGGTCTTCTTCTTCTTGGTTTTGTACATATCCTGGAGAATATGATGTACCAGTTTCTCAGGTTCTAAAGGGAAAAAGCAGCACGGAACAGACAAGTTGAGAATCTAAGTTTTCAGACATTTTAAAGCCTCTTCTAACTCTCTAAAATGAATTTTCATTGTCAGTGACATAAATTGACAATAGAGTATAAGAAGTGATCATAATGAATTTTAAATAAGTCTAACCAACCATGCTTTCCAACTAGTATTTCTTCAATGCCTACTACGTATCAATACCATATCTAGTATTTTAACTCTTCAGCATTACTTTTACCAAAAACAACTGTTCACGAAGACAGCGAAGCTACATTTTTATATCTGACTTACTCAATGATAGAACCACACTGTTGTTTTCCTATGAAAATGGCAACTATCTAAGTAACAAACATTAAATAGCACAGTTTTTTACAAAAACAAAACAAGAATCTGCAAATCACTTAAAAAGATGTAATTAATCCAGAAGCTAAGTTTGTACATAAATCTAGATCTCAGACCTTAGAGGAGCCCCAGACCATGACCTGCACAAGGTCAAGTGGTAGTCCTTAGGTCACATCCTAATAATATACAAATTTGATGGGGCTGCTCAGTACTTTCAATACTTTTAAATTAGTTAACTGCATTTAAAAATCTAGAAACTTCTCCAGATTTCCAACTTCTTTTGAAAAATCAGAAAATGTGGCCCTATCAGGACCACATCCCCTAAAGCCTGAAGCCATTCCAGATGGGCTGGAGCTGGGTGGCGGCTGCCCCTTGTAGACAGAGCATGTACTTGTTTTACCTAAAGTGACATGCAAAGGAAGTGGCAAACCCAAGTTTCTACTCCTGAGCCAAGGCTGTGTCCCCCACCCCGTTCTGCCTTCTATATGCCTGGTGCTGAGACCGGTGAGGGAGCCGGTGTTCTGTGAGAGGGAGATGGCCAGGCAGTACAGGATCGAGCATCGCAAGGCGTAGTGGCCAGACACACCTATCCCCAGTGTCCTGATGAAGACCACATTGTTCGCGCCGCTCTCCACTGACTGGAACCTTCTCAGCCGCATCTCCGTAGACGCTTTAATGTCACCAACTTCTTTCTTCAAGGCGGCCTCCGCATCGTCGTCCTCTCCCTCGCCTCCTGAGGGCGGCTGGTCCTGGTCTGTAAACTTTGCATAAAACGCATGAGCAGAGATGCCATCACAGCTCACGTGAAAAGCGGTAATAAACGGCTTATGTGAAACCCCCAGTGGCAGACAGCTCAGTATTGACAAACCTTTTCATTAAGATACTGAGACCTCACTTCCCTGAAAATGAGGATTGTGGTGCTTCTCATTTGAAAACGTTTCCAAAAACACAGTAACAGTCAGGGACAGAGAAATATGCTCACCAGATCAATCATTCCAGGGTGGCCCTGCATCCCATCCCTAGACACCTTTGTGCCTAATGACACTCTCCCTTGGGTGAGAGGAGACCATGTCCTTGCGGAATGGAAAACGGTTATTCGTGTTCTAATAAGGAACAGGAAACAATCCCAGGCACTTGCTCTCGGTGCCAGTGTAGAAAGGACAGCACTGCCTGCCCAGTCCTCCGCCCATCGATGGAGTTGCCAAGCGGGCACTAGTGAGTGTACACATTTTTGGGGCCTTTACCCTACACCAGGAGGTAGTTTATGGGCATAAGCAACTTTTTAGTCACCCTTAAAAAGTGCTACCATTATTCTTTGTCATCTAAGTCAGCAGAATAAAATGGCATGCCGTGTCCAGCCCCAGAGGCCCCAGGGACCAGCCTCCTTCACTGAACTCTTGGGTGTGTCCATACATGTGTTAGTCCGGATCTAAGCCAAGAATATGACTTGCAAACTGCGATGGGGCAATTACATTTGAAGTGCTACTGGTGGAAGAGTTCTTACTTTGAAAATGTGCTTCTACATGCATTTGAGAAATAACTAACACGAACACTAAACCCACTATTTCAGAGCTACTACTGAGGACAGACATTACTGCAGCCAAGGTGCTCAGACAGCGGCACCACGTGGCAAACCCTGCGGCGAACTTCCTGGAACCCTGGCCAGCTCCATCGCCTACGTAACCCTTGGGTCCTCCTCAACATGGCTCACAAGGCGGTCGTGAAGAGTAAATGTCTCTGAAAAACCCAGAAACACAAGCCTGGGCGGCAGGGCGCAGTCTGTAGGTAGGGGCCGCCGATTAACAACCGGAAGCAAGTGCAGGACAGCAGCACTTCCCGCCCGACTCCACCCGCTCCGCGACCCGAACACGCGAGGGGGCGGGATGTCAGAGGCCACGCCCCGCCCGCGCAGGCGCAGGGCCCGCGCATGCGCCTGAAGGCGGGCGGCCTTCCTCACCCGAAAGCCTAGCGGTAGCCCCGGCGCAGGCCTACCTTCTCCGGCCCATACAGGTCGTCGCCATACTCGTTGAGCAGGCTGTAGGCTTCCTCCACGCACTTGCGCTCGTTCATGTTGCAGGTAATGAGCACGCCCTGCAGCCCGGGCTCCAGCTGCCGCGGGCCCGCGCCGTCGCCGCGCCGGGCACGCTTGGCCGGGACGTACTGCGCCTTCCCCTTGCGCTTCCCGCCGCCCCGCGGGGGCGTTTGCGCCGCGCTCGCCATGTGCGCGCAGGGCGCCGACCAGAAACGCGCTGCTCCGCGGCGGTGGCGGCGACCCTCCCGCTGGCGCCGGTGCCACGCCGGGACGTGCGAAGGTCCCCCGAAGCCCCGCCTCCAAGCTGCTTCCGGTTGCGCTGGTCCTAAAGCCCGCGGCCCGGTGGGCGGGCCCGCGCCTCCGCCCCGCCCCCGCCCCCGCCCCGGAAGGAGCGGTTTCCCTGGAGCAGTGGCCTGTGACCTTAGAATAAGATGCTGGTCTCCAACCGCGTGTACTAGTAGATGGAGCTTGCAAAGCACCGTTTCATTTACGTATTAATATTCACTGATTTACTCAATATTTATTAAGCACCTATGTGCCAGTAATTGCCCTATACTGAGGTTGAGACTATTAAAAAGCAAGACCTTTTTAATTTTTTAAAAATTACTTGTACATATGTCTCCTTTTCCCCATTGACCTTCCCCCGGCCTCCCCTACCCTGCCTCCCACTCCCCCGCCCCAGTGTCTTGTGTCCATTGATTATGCTTATATGCATGCATACCCTTTAATTGATCTCTTATCCTCCTCCAATACTCCCCAGCCTTCCCGCTGTAATTTCACAGTCTGTGCAGTGCTTCTCTGCCTCTCTATCTTTTTGCTCATCAGGTTATAATGTTCTTTATTGTCCATAGATGACTGAGATCATTTGATATTTATCTTTCTCTGACTGGCTTATTTCACTTAGCATAATGCTCTCCAGTTCCATCCATGCTGCTGCAAATTGTAAGAACTCTTTTTTTACAGCAGTGTAGTATTCCATTGTGCAGATGTACCACGGTTTTCTAATCCACTCATCTGCTGATGGGCACTTAGGCTGTTTCCAGATCTTAGCTATGGTGAATTGTGCTGCTATGAACATAGGGGTGCATATATCCTTTCTGATTGGTGTTTCTGGTTTCTTGGGATATATTCCTAGAAGTGGGATCACAGGGTCAAATGGGAGTTCCATTTTTAGTTTTTTGAGGAAACTCCATACTGTCTTCCACAGTGGCTGCACCAGTCTGCATTCCCACCAGCAGTGCACAGGGTTCCTTTTTCTCCACATCCTCTCCAGCACTTGTCCTTTGTTGATTTGTTGATGATAGCCAGTCTGACAGGTGTGAGATGATACCTCAGTGTTGTTTTTATTTGCATTTCTCCGATGATTAGTGACTTTGAGCATGTTTTCATATGTCTCTTGGCTTTCTGAATGTCCTCTTTTTGAAAAGTGTCTATTTAGGCCCTTTGCCCATTTTTTGATTGGATTGTTTATCTTCCTTTTGTTAAGTTGTATGAGTTCCCTGTAAATGTTAGTGATTAAACCCTTATCGGTGATAACATTGGCAAATATGTTCTCCCACGCAGTGGGCTCTCTTGTTGTTTTGTTGATGGTTTCTTTTGCTGTGCAGAAGCTTTTTATTTTGAGGTAGTCCCATTTGTTTATTTTCTCCTTAGACTCTTGCCCTAGGAGCTGTGTCTGTAAAGATATTGCTACGACATATGTCTGTAATTTTGCTGCCTATGGAGTCTTGTAGGATTTTTATGGTTTCCCGTCTTCAAGTCTTTAGCCATTTTGAGTTTGTTTTTGTGTATGGTATAAGTTAGTGATCTAGTTTCATTTTTTTGCATGTATCTGACCAGATTTCCCAGCACCATTTATTAAAGAGGCTGTTTTGACTCCATTGTATGCTCTTGCCTCCTTTGTCAAATATTATTTGAGCATAATGGCTTGGGTCAATTTCTGGGTCCTCTATTCTCTTCCATTGGTCTATATGTCTGTTCTTGTGCCAGTACCAGGCAGTTTTGAGAACAGTGGCTTGGTAATATAGCTTGATATCTGGTATTGTGATCCCTCCAACTTTGTTCTTCTTTCTCAGGATTGCTGTGGCTATTTGGGGTGTTTTTTTTTATTATTCCAGATGAATTTATGGAGAGTTTGTTCTAGATCTTTGAAATATGCCGTTGGTATTTTAATAGTATTGCATTGACTCTATAGATTGCTTTGGGTAGTATGGACATTTTAATGATGTTGATTCTACCAATCCATGAACGTGGTATGTTCTTCTATTTGTTTATGTCTTCCTCTATCTCTTTTTTCAATATCCTGTAGTTTTCCGAGTACAGGTCTTTTACGTGCTTGATTAAGTTTATTCCTAGGTATCTTAATTTTCTTGGTGCAATGGTAAATGGGATTGTTTTGTTCATTTCTCTTTCTGTGAGTTCATTATTGGTGTATAAAAAAGCCATAGATTTCTGGGTGTTAATTTTGTATCTTGCTACATTGCTAAATTCATTTATTAGGTCTAATAATTTTTTGATGGAGTCTTTGGGGTTTTCTATGTATAGTATCATGCCATCTGCAGATATAGACAGTTTTACTTCTTTTCCAATTTGGATGCCTTTTAGTTCTTCTTCTTGTCTGATCGCAACGGTTAGTACTTCTAGTCCTATGTCGAACGGGAGTGGTGAAAGTGGGCATCCTTGTCTTGTTCCTGTTCTTTGGGGAAATGGGTTTAGTTTTTGCCCATTGAGTATGATGTTGGCTATATATTTGTCATATAAGGCTTTTATTATGTTGAGGTATGATCCCTCTATTCCCACTTTGCTGAGTTTTTATCAAGAAAGGGTGTTGGATTTTGTCAAATGCTTGATCTGCATCAATTGATATGATTATGTGATTTTTGTCTCTCAGTTTGTTTATGTGCTGTATCACATTTATTGATTTGCGGATATTGTACCATCCTTGCATCCCCGGAATAAATTCCACTTGGTCATGGTTTATGATCTTTCTAATGTACTGCTGAATCCTATTTGCTAGAATTTTGTTGAGGATTTTAGCATCTATGCTCATCAAGGATATTGGCCTGTAGTTCTCTTTTTTTGTGGTGTCTTAATCTGGTTTTGTTATTAGGGTGATGCTGGCTTCATAGAAGGAACTTGAATAGTCTGAGGAGGATAGGTTTTAGTTCTTTGAATGCTTGGTAGAATTCCCCTGTAAAGCCGTCTGGATGAGGGCTTTTGTTTGCTGGAAGATTTTTGATCACTGTTTCAATTACAGGTTTTTTTATTCTTCTCGGTTGAGTTTTGGAAGCTTGTATTTTTCTACAAATATGTCCATTTCGTCTACTTGTCCTTTTTATTGGAAAAGAGTTGTTCATAGTATTTTTTCATAATCATTTGTATTTCTGTAGGATCGGTTGTTACTTCACCTCTTTCATTTCTGATTTTGTTTATTTGGGTCCTCTCTCTTTGCTTCTTGGTGAGCCTGGCTAGAGGTTCATCAATCTTGTTTATCCTTCAAAGAACCAGTTCTTGGTTTTATTGATCTTTTGATGATTGTTTTTTGGTCTCTATTTCATTTATTGCCTCTCTGATCTTTATTATTTCCTTCCTTCTGCTTACACTGGGCTTTTCTTGTTGCTCTGTTTCTAACTCTTTGAGTTCTAGGGATAGGTAATTTATTATCATTGTTTCTTGTTTTTTGCCATAGGCTTGTAGGGCTATGAACTTCCCTCTCAAGACTGCTTTCACTGTGTCCCATAGATTTTGGATTGTTTTGTTTTCATTGTTATTTGTTGCCATGATGCTTTTTATTTCTTTTTTAATCTCTCTGGTAACCCAGTCATTGTTTAATAGCATGCTATTTAGCCTCCAGGTGTTTGATTTTTTTTTGTTTTTATTGTAGTTGATTTCTAGTTTTATGCCATTGTGATCTGAGAAGATGCTTGATATGATTTCTATCTTCTTGAATTTGAAGAGACTTTGTGACCCACTATATGGTCTATCTTTGAAAATGACCCATGTGCACTTGAGAAGAATGTATATTCTGTGGCTTTAGGGTGAAATGTTCTGAAGATGTCAATTAATTCCATCTGATCTAGTGAGTCACTTACGATTGATGTTTCTTTGCTGATTTTTTTGTTTAGAGGATTTGTCCAATGGTGATAGTGGGGTATTAAGGCCCCTATTATGACTGTATTGCTGTCATTCTCTCCCTTGATATCCCCCAGAAGTTTTTTTATATATTTGGGTGCTCTTGTATTGGGTGCATATATGTTTACCAGAGTTATATCTTCTTGTTGAATCGCTCCTTTTAGTATTACGAAGTGGCCTTCCTTATCGCTTGTTATGTCTTTCACTTTGAGATCTAATTTATCAGATATAAGTATTGCTACCCCAGCTTTTTTTTCATTTCCATTCGCCTGAAAAACCTTTTTCCGTTCCTTCACCATCAGTCTATGAGTCCTTTGTTCTGAGGTGGGTCTCCTGTAGACAACAGAAAAATGGGTCATGTTTTCTTATCCATTCAGCTAGCCTAGGTCTTTTGATTGGGGCATTTAATCCATTTACATTTAAATTTATTATTGATAGGTACTTGTTTGTCACCATTTTTATTCTTTACACCTGTGTTCCTTCTTTGCTTCTTATTTCTTCCTTTTACAGCAGATCCTTTACTGGTTTGGTGGTAGTAAATTCCCTTAGTCCTTTTTTGTCTGTGAAACTCCTGATTTCACCCTCAATTTTGATTGATAGCCTTGATGGATAGTATTCTTGGGTTCAGACCCTTCCTTTGAATGACTTTGTATATTTCATTCCATTCCCTTCTGGCCTGATGTGTTTCTGTTGAGAAATCAGTCACTAGTCTGATGGGGAATCCTTTGTAGGTAACTTTCTGTCTCTCTCTGGCTACTTTGAAGATTCTTACTTTGTTGTTGGTGTTTGCCAATTTAATTATAATGTGCCTTGGCGTCAGTCTTTTGGGGTTCATTTTGTTTGGCACTCTGTGAGCTTCTTGGATTTGTGTGAGTTTTTTCTTCCCTATATCAGGGAAGTTTTCTGTGTTTATTTTTTCAAACAGGTTTTCTATTTCTTGCTCAGTTTCCTCTCCTCGCACCCCTATTATGCGGATGTTGTTGTTGTTTTTTTTCGTGTTGTCCCAAAGTTCCCTTAGGCTCTCCTGTTTTTTAAGTTTTTTTTTTTTCTAGATGTTGCTCTGCTTGGGTATTTTTTCTTACCTTGTCTTCTAGCTCACTGATGCGGTCCTCTGCTTCTTCTAGTCTATTGTTGATGCTTTCTATTGAGTTCTTCATAACAGCGATGTCATTTTTCAT